GGGGTCGAACTAGCTTCATCCGCACCAAAGTTGCCCAGCTGATCATTAGTGAGCAGTCTGTTGGATATTTGCCTTTGATTGACATGCGAAGATTGTGTCTCGAGCTGTGTAGAGGAGTCAATATTTTAGATTTGTTTCCATCTCTTTAAATCTGTCTGTAGGTCTACATTGCTAAATTGTGATCAAAGATTTAAAGTTAAAGGCATGATGGCGGGATTGTGATGTTAATTTATGGTGTAGAGGTGGAGTGGGAAGGAGGGGTGATTTCTTAAGTTAAACGGTGTGCTTTTGTCAAATTGGCTTAGTTTTTGTTTGTTTGTGTTTCTTTTGTAAGTGTTTTACGGCGTTCGCAACTGCATAAGGTCATATGAGCGCGTGGAACACGCAAAACATTTTCAGTTGGTAGAAATTTTGAATTTTGTCCGGGTGACTGCCGAAGCGTACTCTTATTGATTTTGGAGCACCAAGAGATCTTTAAAGTACGCAACTTACACACGGGACATCCGAGATTTTTCTCCCTTGTTCGAGAAGGCTAGGTGTAAATCTTGCCTACCATAAGATCAGGGATGTAGCTGAAATACAGCAGTCAGAAAGTCTGCAGAAAGAGTCAGGAGCCCAGAGGAGGGGGCAAAAGAGGTGAAGGGGTGGGGGCAGAAAGTGAAGAAAGCAGACGATAGAACATAGCTAGAGAACAGGAAAGGAGGTGAAAGGAGACACTTTTAGAGAAGAACATTTTTCCGTCGATACTTGGATTCGAACCAGGAACCTTTGAATGTGAGGCGAACACCTTAACTAACCTCTATGCCACGAGAGCTCTCATCTGTGTGAAAGGGCGTAAAAACAAAAGGTGCGAACGACGGGTCTATCTTTTTTAAAAATACAAGATGCTCTGCCTGTAAATAGGAAAATGTCTGTAAGCTACATAGTTCATGTAAAAACGAGTAAAGCAGTGTGCCTTGTATACTGTTCAGTAAATCTTTTTCTTTTTTTTCTTTCTTTTTTTTTTCTTTTCTTTTTCGGGGGTAGGCATAACAGGAATTGGTGGTACGGCTATCATGTACACTTAAGAGATGTAAAGAGAAAATATTTTCTTCCTAGTATTGTTTTTATATACCATACATAATGATATGCTATTTGGACATGTACGAGTATGTGAGTATGTGTGTGCAAGTGTTTGATTTTGTGTGTGTGTGTGTGTGTGTGTGTGTGTGTGTGTGTGTGTGTGTGTGTATGTGTGTGCGTGTTTTTGTGTGTGTGTGTGTGTGTGTGTGTGTGTGTTTGTGTGTGTGTGTGTGTGTGTGTGTGCGCGTGTGTAAGTGTGTGGGTAAATCCATTTTTCAATTTTCTTTTATATGAAGAGATTTCTCCTTTCTTTGAGCCTCGGGGAGTAAACTCTACCCTCATTCAAAGCCATAGAACAAGGTCCGTACCCGAGCCACCCATAACTCAAGTTAGGATACATAGCACAAAATACATCCTCATTTTTTTACGATTTTCCTCGCTACATTGTCCAATGTGGACATCTAGAATTCCATATTTAAAAAACAAAAACAAATATATACCTGCTTCACACGGGCATCTAGGCTTTAAAAGTCTACTACTGAGGATTTCGTTAAAAAATCTTAAATAGCTTTTATACATGTAATACATTCAGATTTATTTGTTCTCATTTTCAGCACCTGCACTAGACAAACAAATGAAATAAAACCACATTGTAAACGGATATATCAACTTTATATTGATACAAACTGTACATATATATGTTCATGACATTTTCATATTTTGGTATAATTGTCTACTTTAAGTGTTCGAAAGCAACAAAGTTTAATAAATGGGTGTCAGTGTTCTCTTTCGTGTGTGTGTTTGCTGCTGATGAAAACTAATATTGTTACAAGAAGTGAGTACTAGCGTAAGACAATGAGACTGTATCACAGAGCAATTAATCAATCTACTCATGGGCTCACTTTGTCACAGCATCTGCAGGTCTCTCTGTATAATTATTATATTATCCGTTGTTTAGGTATGTGTATGAGAGAGAGAGAGAGAGAGAGAGAGAGAGAGAGAGAGAGAGAGAGAGAGAGATGGACAGAGAGAAAGGGGTGGGGAAGGGAAACATGTAACCTAGTCAACACAAGGTTTTATCTATACATATGTATTAGATTACAAGAGGGTGTGTATTAAATGTGTGTGAGTGGGGACGGGAATAGAGGATTTCAATTTGTATTTCTTCTTTCAAACTCTTAAAATAACAAAGTTATGAGGCTTTGAGCTTGTTCGCAGTTTTCAGCAGGGCGCCCACGGCTCTTCGGGCCCACGTCTGAATGTCCAGCAATCGCTTGACCAGTGTCCGAGGCTGCTGGTGCTGACCGCCCTCCAGGATGGAGCGGAGAAAGCTGCAATAGCCAGAGATGTCGTTGGCCAAGGCCAGAACCCGGCGCTTGTCCACAGACTGGGGAACGTCGTGGAGCAACACGAAGGTGAACTCGGCCACATGATGTAGCGCGCGTTTGCTGGCTTCACACGATTGGAGGAACCTTGTCACGTGGTTGGTGGTGGAGGAGACGGATTCAGCGTCACCAATGCTGCTGTTCTGGTCCACACCGGGCAGAACCACAAGCTGAAAATAGAAGGCAGTAGAACATAATGTTTTAAAAGTACAATCATCACGCACTAGAACTAATCGAAACAAATAAATATAAGGCCTTTTCCAAAAACAAACAAATTAGACTGTGGAAAAAGAAAAGCAGCGGCACTATTTTTTATTTTTTTACAAAACGTACAGTTTAAATCTGAGGTGAGCAACAGGCTTTTGTTACAAATTGTGGTTGATCCAAAGCCAGAATCGTTTAGAAGCTGTTTAAAGGGGAAAATAATGATTACCAGCTCAAAAATAATATATCCGTATAGCCCTTTCATTGCGATCTTTAAATTATTTTAGGATTACCATTTTACAAATAATACATTTAAATATCTGTATAGCCATTTCACTGTCATCATTACATTATTTTCCCAATTTTCTATCTCATCTTCTCAAATGGTTAATCATTTCACGGTGAAAGGAAAACATTCTAGACAATTTATTGTCACTTACATAACCGCTTAGTTATTGTTTTAATGTACGTGTTTAACGTTCCCTACTATACAATTTAGATCATTCAGGGGTGAGCTTCGAACCTGCAAATCCGGGCTAAGGGAACTACAAATACCATCAGAGTGACAGAGATACTCTGTAAAATTAGCCTCATACGGAAATCGAACCCAGACTTCTTAACCGCACCGGAGAAACGCTTAGCCGCTTCGCCACATAAGCTGGTCTTTATAGTGATTGAATTGGTGGGAGAGAAGGCAATACTTAGGGAACCGCTAGGGATCAATGTGTTCTGTTTTGAAACAAGAAAAAGATAACTGATTTTATGTTATTGTTAAATTCACTCTGTAACATTCATAATTTCTGGGGTTTAAAGTGTTTCCTCAGACTCACCTCTCTCTTCAATTCGTCGTCTTTGGAGGCTGCAGTAGCAATCGCAAGGGCCAGGGCTTTGATCTCCTTTGTCGAATGATGACGATTTCCCTCGAGCCTCTGCTGCAGCGCGCGCTGGTACATGGACAATCGGCTCTTGCCACCACAGGTCTTTCTTGGTTCCTCTGGCGTTACTCCCAACGGTTGAGCCAAAGCCTTGGGTTTCACTTGCCTCACAAGCAATGTCCTGGTCATTTCGTACAGGTAAGCATAATCAGGTTTACAGACAATGTGGCCATTAAGCGGTGCTAAACACGTCCAGCAAAACTGATGCCCACATTTACAAGACATATGTGGACAGCCGCCGTTCTTTTCGATGAACCTCCTGCACCTTGGGCACAGTCTTCCTTCAACACGCATCGCTTCAGGCTTTTCTTTTGGCTTGGATTGAGCAGGAGGGGATGCATTTTCTTTAGGGTCGTCTTCCACTTCTTTCGGGAGCGATATGTCGTACAATCTGCCTGTGTACTCACCAGCCTGTTCACAATGTGCAGGCCAGTGGGCAGGACCGAGGCAAGAAAAACAGACGCTGAGTCCACAAGCGCATGTGACGTCGTATGACATATCAGGGGTTATGGCTTTGGCCTCCATCTTGATAACACGGCCACACGTCGGGTTGGGGCACCACTTGGAGTCTTCCGATGTCTCCACTTCATCCTCTTTCTGTCGCTGTAGCAGCTGAGCAACTTCTGACACGTGAACGAGAGAGAGGAGAGTCACTTGGCCTACAGTAACGTCACAGTCGTATCCGGGACACATGATTTTGACAACTCCATCTGCCATTCTCGTTCGAATGTGAGTTTTCCAACAGTCGTTGCAGAAGACGTGACCACATTTGGTTAGTGCAGTACCCGGGAGACTGTCCACGTGACTTGGAGTCACACTCTCGTAACAAATCTGACAGAAAATGTCGTAGTCTTCCCCAGAGGACCCTAGTTGACTCAAGGTCATGGAGAATAAGTCTGTGTTCTGCTCCAGTTCTGTAAAACGAAGTTTGCTGATCTCTTGGCTGGGGTAGAAGCTTTCCACTTTCACCTGAAGTTTGTCGGAGACGAATCGAAATAAATCATTTGTACTGTCACTTATGAATGGCGTTCTCACAAATTCCAACAGATTTTCACTTTTCATGTCCAAGAGAATTTCAAAAACTTGATTAATGACATCATCAATGGAGAAAGTGTGGAAGGGTATGCTTTTCTGTATGTGCTCTGTGCTTTTGCAAACATATGAGTTGAAAGCAACCTTGTATGAGTCGAGTCCATCGTCGTAGTGACCATCATAAGTGAAGACGAGATAGGAAATGAAAGCAGAATTCTCCCTTTCAGTTCGCGAAGAACAGAAAATGTTTTTTACATCGTCACTTACATTTATTACAAAAGTGCGTGGTTGGCACTCAGCCTCTGCATACAGATGTCCGAATTTATTCTTGAGCTCTTCGGGGCAAGTTTCTTTGGAAGAAGCGATGATTCTGAAAGAAAACAAGTCTACATACTCGGGGATTCTCTTCGTTTCTGTTTGTTCCTCGGGTTGTTGTTCCACGGGTTGTTGTTTAACGGGTTTTTGTTTCGTGGGTTGTTGTGGTTTTTTTCTCCAGTGTCTCCTGAGCGTTGGCCACATTGACGGTGGCCTGAATTCATTACCGTCTGGCAATGCCTTTAAGTGTGGTTTCAATTCCTCCTCGTCCAAAGACGTTGCTGATGGTTTGCTAGCCGACCTTTTCCGGGGGCTGTCAGTTCTCTGTGTACATAGCTCTCTTGCTTTTTCAGCGTGGGCAATCAACGAAGACCAGAGATTTTCATTGTTATTGCCGTTGTGTTTAGAACGGAGATCTGAATTATGTGTTTCGAACAGGTCCGTCTCAGTTTCTGCCTTCTCCTCCGCTGTGACCTCAGAGCTAACGACGGGAGAATAATCTTCTTGATACACCTCGTCCCACATCTGGTTAAGGTCTTCTTCAATTTCTTCTGTTCCCATCTTGGCCCATGAAGATGTGGTCAGTCTTTTCCTGTGACGCCGTCTGGGCTTTTTGCTTCCCGGATTTTTCACTGCTTTAATCTCTTGCTTACCCTCCTCGTTGACATCGATCATGACGTCAGTGTACTTGGGGTTGAATGCCAATGAGCAAGTCTTTGGACACGGATAAAAGATTTCCATTCTGTATTCTGGTTTAGTGCTGGACAATACATTTTTTACATCTTCAGTTTTTGTGTCGTCTCCTGCCTTTGTGAAAACCTGGATTGTTTTCCAAGGAGAACGTTTGTCTTTAATTTCCCTTGGCTTTTTCATCGCGCTCATCGCTTTGGACATCTGTCTCTTCTTTTGTCTGTTGGATTGTTCCTCATCAATGTTATCCAAGTTGAAGGAAAAATATCGCTTCTGTGTGGGCTGTACTGAGGTGACTTTGCCCTTGTTGCTGACAAAACTGACACAGTTGGCTCTTCTCTTGAGCTTGTGTCTTTCCAGGACAGATACCATAGCACCTCGACCGAAGTAGCCATTTCTAATCATGTGACGCATTGTAGCTGGAAGTTGCCATCTCTGCTTCTTGTTGAGGGACAAAATGACGTCAGTACTTTGGACGGTTTCTGTAACCATGGCATCGTCTGTGCTTGATGTCACCATTTTGGTGACGTCACGGCTTGTCATGCTGGAACTGCCGATGAGGCAGGCATGGCGTCCGTATCTGATGAAAAGGAAAAAACAGTGTTGTTTTGTAACCGTAATCAAAATTTGGGATGTAAGTGAGATCCTTCATAATTTTTAATGCCGTGCGACAGTGTGAGAAAGATAAATGCTTTCACTAATTGCTACTTGTTCAAAACACAGGGAAACAAAAAAACAAAACAAAACAAAAAAAAAAAGAACCAAATATACCCCCCCCCCCCCCCCCGTAATATTGTTAGTAGAATTTATATATATAGATCATGGTCGCAGTCTCGCAAAAGTCATTGACAGTCAGCTCAAGAGTATTAGGGGTCTAATTTTAATTACCTAAGAATTATTAAAATTTACATTGTGGTCATGGTCACAAACTCCTTATCCGTTTCTTCTTCTTCTTCTTCTTCTTCTTCTTCTTCTTCTTCTTCTTCTTCTTCTTCTTCTTCTTCTTCTTCTTCTTCTTCTTCTTCTTCTTCTTCTTCTTCTTCTTCTCCTCCTCCTCCTCCTCCTCCTCCTCCTCCTCCTCCTCCTCCTCCTCCATCATCACCATCATAATCACCTAATCATTATCATCATCATGATTATGATTATCATCATCATCATCATCATCATCATCATCATCATCATCATCATCATCATCAGCAGCAGCAGCAGCAGCAGCAGCAGCAGCAGTAACAGCAAGAACAACAACGTAAATCAACAGTTTTTTTTATCACTTTAGTTTAAGAACTGCCGCTGTAAATTGCTTCTGTTGTCATTTAATAGTAAGCACGCCTATCGGGAAATGAATCAAAGATTACAACAGCGACAGTAATGAATTCAAGAAGCAATCGGACAAAACCAGCACTCAGAAGTGTAAAATTTAAACTTAATGTATTTTAAATAATAGAATTTTGAGTGTGAGTTCTCCTTACCTGTTAGATTTGAGGGTGTGGAGGCCACGGAGGGTGTTCCCAGACCTCACTCCACCCTTGCAGACTTTGTAGACCATTGTCTTCGCTGATGGAGCGTTGTCTTCGATGTGATGTATCTGCCCCTCTTCAGAAAAAGAGACTTGGGTGTATAGATGCTATTACTTGGACGTAGTCAGCTTTTATAGTAATTTTTTCAAGTTTCTGTTTGTGGTGCAATCATTGATGGATCGTTCACGCAGCGAAGCATTGAGTTCTAAATTTAGATGTGGGCTGGATAAGTCCGAATATATACACGATTTCTATTGGCTGAAGCGTGTGGGAGCGTGCGTAAGATATTTATTAATAGTAACTTAGCTGTATCTAAAAATACAAACTAAGTTAACTCTGCGATTGAAGTGAGCGCTCTTTTTCGTAAATGTATTCTGTTTTAGGCACAGAATTCTACACTAAGTGTAGAATTCTGTGGTTTTAGGTTAACCATCTTAATGCTCATCTGCTTTTTCCTTCTTCTTTAAATCTTGCCATCTCAACCCCCCTCCCAGTTAATCTAGATCTAAATCTTTTATATGCCTCGTGCACATCAAAACGCAGCCTTAGTCTCCTAAGACTAAGAGCGGATACGCAGATACAATTTGCATAGAAACTGTTAAAAAACCCAATGTTTTTTAGAGCCATTTTCACCCCGCCTTTGGAAATTATCATTCTTTTTTTTATATTCCGTTGTGGTTATTAGTAGTTTGTTTATCAAGCCCTACGCGAAGCAAGAAAAACAAGGAGGCCGTTCCGATAAAATTTAACGCCCGAGAATGTCACAATACACCGTACGGACAGGGGGCATAATTTAGAAAAGCTGAATCCAGCTCTATTTGTTGACATGCCAACCAGTCACATTCTTCCAGGTAAAAAGTCTGGACGAACCTACTCGTCTGAGTTCACGCTTTTGTAAGTTTCGTTCATTACTAATTTACACATCTGCTTTGTGTTTTCCGTGTTTCGATGAGCGAAGAATGACACCCATCAGCATGCAAAACTGCCTGTAGGCCAGTTGCTAATGAAAACAAAAATCGTTGTGTCGTTGTTAGTTGTTGCACTCTTATATATGCTTTTTCGGTAGTTCCCACGCCCATGTACCCCCCTTATTAATTGAATCTAGATCTAGATCTAGATCTTGATCTAGATCTCTAGATCTAGATTTCTAGATTTATACGTTAGATCTATACGTTTGAGGCGTGGCGAGCTAAGGTATCAAACCTAACAACTGCAAAACATCAAATATGGTAAAATCAGAGGGTTATGCCCCCCCCCCCTTAATTTTATTAGTTCAGGGGGCCAAGACCCCCTGAAACCCCACTACTCTTGGGGCCAAAACCGGCGTATAACAATTGCGGGGTGGAGACTACCGAAAAAACGCCCTCTTCTGTAGGAGCTGGGACTAAATCCAATAATAGGCCTTAAGTAGGCTACAGTCAAACCTGTGCCAGTGTAAAACGGCCAGACATTATCTTGGAGAAAAGTGTCAGTATAATACAGGTGGCCGTCTTAGGCAGGACTGTTCAAAATGAAGAAGGCAAACCTTTCTTTTCCGAAATCCAAACCGGAGCTGACCTCAGGCCTCAGGGTTAGGACTGCTGTAAGACTAATTCACAAGGCACACAAGGGTTTTTGTTTTCTTTTGAAAAAGGGAAGTGTAATAAGAAGGGTTTTTGTGTTTTGTTGATTTGTTTTTTGGTAAGCTTTCTTTTTGTTGCTGGTTTTATGGAAGGGTAAAATAAACGAAATATTATGTATAATAAGCCACATACGCAGCGACTGCAAACTGCATTCAGGGCGCCGTGAACGTAGCTTGCCTACTACGTAGCCACTGTATATTATGAAATGAGACAATGAAGACTGGTAAAACAAACACAGGTCGTCACCACTCGGAGAACGAAAGATGCACGTTCAGATTTGATTCCACTGCGTCATGACACATATATAGAGACATAGAAGAGATCGCCTACCCTAACCCTGGCCCAACCCCAATAGTATGTTACTATACTATAGTATAACCCCTACTCTTTCCCTTAGATCTACCCTACCCTAAACCTTTACCCTACCCTTACCCCAAACCCTACTCCTACCCCAAACCCTAACCCCAACTCTCTATTCTACTTTGTTTCGTAGTCGTCGCTCGTTTCGGAATTCCTCCCAAGCCGAAATAAGCTGCCCTAGGTTACAGCTTTGTTACTGTTTCGTTTTATCTTGGGATCTCGGATGTTGTGGATGAAATGAGATTTAATTTTATGCTCCAAGTCCAAGCCTACAGATTGTTGTAAGCGTAGGTTACCTCAACTGTAACTGTAATTATGCATAGTTTTTTTACCTTTCCGGTACTCGAAACACAGCCCTGGTATGATTGTCATTACTTAAATGAACAGTGTGGTACACATGACATATAGACCAACTATATTATGTTTTGGGCCTTGAGGAGTGTGTGATTGATGCAACCTGCTAACATTTTTTTATACATTTGACTGATGTCAAGGCTTGCCAGCTCCTTACCGGATTATGAAGTATATATATCTCCTATCAAAATAATACATTTTTCATCGCATTGTATGTGCTCATTATTCTTTGGTCAGTGGTCAGTATTTCGGGATAAGATTATAGAGTGAGGTGGTTTGATCTCCCTAACATTCGTTTTGACCACCATGGGTGAAAGCACCCAATCCAGGCAACGTTGGTTTCTTTGAAATCTGAGACACAGATTAACAAAATGGATTTTGAATAAGTGCCGAATTAACAGTGGAGGGAGTTCTGAAAGATGGCATGTATACTTGAGAATAACTCACTTCGAATCCCACCATCTAAACAAAACCCCCCAAAAAAGAAAGAAAAACAGGGCCAAATATCTTTTTTTTTTTTGTGTAAGAACAAATTAATTCTTCTTGAACTTACGGACAATTTTAGAATCTAAGTGTTTACTGTTGTAACTTTTCAAAATGAATTGAACTCTTTTGAATTTTTATCACTCCTCTTGTCTCATTAGTCACTGCTTCAAGGCTACTTGAACAAAGAAGTTTCTTGTTGAGACATTTTGAAAAATGATCTCAATATTGCAGCTTAAATTTACTTATTCCTGAAATATTTTAAATGGTCAACTCCCCTCTAGTGCTAGGCAGTATTGACAAAATTGAGTACCACTACATTACTGGCACTGTACCTCGAATACTGCTAGTCTGGTGCTGATGGCATCAGAGGCTATGCACATGTTGTATTCTCGTCTACGCCTGCCTCGCTTTTCATCAGCACCCCTTCCTCCTCTTCCCTTTCCGCAATACACACACAGCAAGCTTCGTACCACAAGCCTATTGCACTGTGTGTTGGTGATCTTTTTTCAGTGGACTATGCTTTGACTTTGACAAGGGCGGCAAAAACCGTCATATGGCTTTGATGGCTTTCTCACTTTCTGATCTAAAAAATTCTATTATAAAATGTGTGAGGGGAGGGGTGGGGGAGATACACATTGTGTGTGTGTGTGTGTGTGTGTGTGTGTGTGTGTGTGTGTGTGTGTGTGTGTGTGTGTGTGTGTGTGTGTGTGTGTGTGTGTGTGTTTATAATGTGTACTTGTGGGTGTGTCATGTGTATGTGTTTCAGAGAGAGAGAGAGACAGAGACTCAGTGTAGGGCAGGTTGGGACACATCACCTGCAGTACTATGTGCTTGATGCATGCACCTTCCCAATGCCAATAAAAAATTCTTGGTGCTGGTACGTTCCCACCACCAGTACCCAAAGCTTAGTTCTGGCAATGACACCTCCTTAAGGTATTATTGAGAGTACAGATAATGAGTACCTCTACGTACTGACGTACTGCCCAGCCCTTTCCTCCAAAAGAGGTAGGCTATGAAGGGCCTGGGGCACACAGATGGCCCACACTACTATCACATTGGACGCTTGGAACAATTACTCCACTATTTACAGTCAGGTTACCGGTTCTTTCTTTACCTGGGTGGGTATAAATGAAATCATTTTATTTTCAAAATCAAAAGTTTTATATCAAACTAGCTAGGCCCTCTTTCGGTGAAAGGAATGATCGGTTCATTAACATCAACTGAAAGTCGTTGGCCTATTTTACACTCTACTGGAATAGAACAATAAATCTTGAGAGATGCAAAAAATTAGAAGGTCTAGATTTATATATACTCTCAAAACAAAATGCGCCTCGCGAAATATCATTTCCCGTACTTCTGCTTTCAAGGACAGCTATGCATATATTTGTTTCGTTTCTCAGTGCAATAATTAAAAAGGCCAAAGAAGGACGGGAACTTTTTTACAAATATATTTTTCTAAATTCAGGAAATAAATGCATAAAAAAATCGGGCTCTGTCATGGGGACTTATCTATCTTTTTGCAGGTACTTGCCAACTTTCAACTCTGTAGCTGTCATGGTTTTATGGGAAAAGTGATATGTGTGTTTCCAAGTTGCCAAATATAGGCCTATATGACAGATTTGAAAAACATGAGCAGCTCGTACACAGTAATTAGGTTTGAAGATAACTGAAAGGCCTCCTCTATGGGAAGCTAGAGATGCAAAGAGGGAAAATAATTGATTGGCGTTTTAATATTAATAAAATGGTACAAAAATGCCTGCTGGATGGATATAACTCTGATCAACTAAACAACAGCATTTCTTACTTCTCCCTGAGTATATTTCTTGACAATATTATACCATGTGTTTGTATGTAATACCCCAGTGTAAATTTTATAAGGAAGTGAGCAAAAATACAATGGTGCACCAGCTGCCTGCATGCGTTGTTGCTTCCTTTTTACACGGAAATTTTATTTCACTTTATAACGAAAATAAAGTACTGTCAGAGAAATTTATCTAACCGTGAATGAGAAGTTTAAAAAAATTTTTTTAAATTTTCTTTGTAGAACAAAGTATGTATCTGGCTCCAACAGGTATGGTAAACATACGCTCATATGACCGTATGCAGTAGCGAGCGCTGTAAAGCCTCTACTAAAACTGATACTTAAACTAAACGGATAGGTTGAACACAGAAGACTTGAAATCACGCATCCATCAAACTGTGCCTGCGGTACCGTTTTTTTTTTCTTCTTTATCTTTAAGATATCCCTCAAACTACTGAGGCCGGTCCCGACAAGTTTGAACTGTCCGTGTTATACTGTCTATATTTATATATCTGTTTATCTATCTATCTATCTATCTATCTATCTATCTATCTATCTATCTATCTATCTCACGGATAGCTCGAATTCGTCTGTACCGGCCTTGGCAGTTCAAGGGATCTGTAGTTTGAGGGATATCTTACAAAGATAAAGAAGAAAAAAAAACGGGACCTCAAGCACAGATCGACGGATTGGTGATTTTGAATCTTCTGTGTCCAACCTATCTGTGTTTTGCTGTACTATATGTACTTTTTTATTAATTGTGATCTCTTGTGTTCTTTCATCGCAGGAAAAAAGTAAGCTGCAATATTCCTCAGAAAAAAGTAAGCTACGATATGTCTCAAAGCAAGATTTCGGAGTGGCTTCCTAAAAAAGGTCAAGTGTACCAGGAAGATATGCCCACAGTAGCTCTGTGTAAACCAAAACTGTTACCTTTGAAGTCTGTGACTCTGGAGAAGATGGAAAAAATGCAACGGGAAGCTCAGGAACAAGTTAAAGAACAAGATAAACAGGAGAGACTGAATGCTGAGGAGGACTTCAGCCAATATTCATGATACTCGTTGTCATACCAAGGAAAATGTGTTTGAGAGCAAGACTTAAATTATTATTTTTGTATTATATATTACGTGTGTGTGCTTTGTGTACCTTTTGCTAAGAAGGAATTTATACCTGGACAATTGTCACTGAATTGTAAGAGCTTTGTGGATCATGTGTGAAAGTTTTAATGTCAGAGTCAGAATAGTTTTGAGCATATTATTGTGGTTTTTTCGTTGCAGCTGCCCCATTTCCATTTTCAGTATAACACGGATAGCTCAAATTCGTCAGGACTGGTCTTGGTAGTTTGTGGGTTCTGTAGATCAGGGGATATCTTACAAAGATAAAGATGGAAAAAGAAACGTGACCGCAGGCACAGTTTGACGGATGCGTGATTTCAAGTCTTCTTTGTTCGACCTATCCGTGTTACACTGTAGTTTCTTTTGAAATAAAAGAAGTATGTAATGTCTTTTTGATCTAATGCAGCTTGCCTTTAACTCTCCATAATGGTGCTGATAGCATCTGAATTGTGTCACAACATGGTGGAATCTGGAGCTCGTCAATTTGGGGGCATGTAAAGTAATTAATATCTTAACTGGTTCTTTTGTCTTCCTTTTGATAAAAAAAATACCCATCCACCTTTCAAAAGTGGGGGTTGCATTTTGTCAGCAGCGGTAAAATTAGTGAGAAAATTTCTGCTAAAGTTTGAAGAATTCCAAAGCTTGAGTTTTCCTAGAAACTGTAAATTTATATTTTTTTGTGCCTTTGATCAATGTTTTTCACAAAAATTCACATAAAATTTGTTTTTAAATTGGCTTAAATTTTTTTGAAATAGTGACAGAAATTGATCAACAAATGGAAAAATGTTGGGTTCTTCTATGTCATTATTTTGATGAGCGCCTGATTTCACCACGATGCCACTCAATTAATGTGATGATGCTACACATTCTACAGGCCAATAAGTGACTTACAGTCTATCATTCAAAGCAAACACAATGCGAAACACGCATTTAGCAAACTGATTTTCAAGTCCTGAATTTTTTGTTGTGCAAGAATGATGTTAATTATTTCTTTGTATTCAAAACATGTACATAACAAAATTCATACATATTGAGAATATTTCCGTGTCCTATATGCCTACTGGACTGTTCATATTGTTTCATGGCAAGTATTTCATTCTCCACTGTTTGGGCTGCATGAAATTGAGAAGACTGTCTGGATTTCTCTTTATTCAATTATTTACTATATAGTTTCCCTTGAATTTTTTCTCTCCAGACCAGTGTCTGTGAGTAGTATAAGGCGCTTCACTGTCACATACAGGAGACCTGAGTTTTTTTCCCGAGCTGGGTGAATAATTTTAATTGAGTATCTTTTTGGTCTTTCTGTTGGAATGTTGTAACCCTCTCAGCCTGGGTTGGCCCTGATAGACAGGGTCAGAAGCCCGCTTAGCCTCCTAAATGACATAAATTGTGTTGAGGGGGTGTAAAAACACAGTGTAGAATTTAGGTTTTTTGCTTCGGTCAAGAGAACATTCATGTTTCAGGGATTTTATGGTGTGAATGAAATTTTAGGTTGTTTGTAATTACAATAGAAATTTATCTCTCAAAAGTTCTGCAATTATTTTAACCCACCTTTTCAATCATTTGCTGAGGGATACTAGTAATGTATTGTGAACATTGTTACTCTCTTCTTTTGTTCGCATGAAAAAATTGCTTTTTTATTTTGTAATCCCCATTTATTATTGAATGAACGTGGCTACATTTTCGAAACTCTTATCGTTAGCTAAGTGTGTACATTTTATGTGTAGAAGGGCTGTCTATGGATGATGATAAAGTGCTAAAAGTCTGGATAGTAGGCTTTAAAATTCTTTGTAAAACAGTGAATATCTTCTTGTACATTTATAGACACCGTAATGGATATGTGATAGTTTTAAAGTTCAGTAACTCCTGTACGGTCTTGCACATCTGTTGTAATTATTAACTTAATACATGTAACTTGTTTGGGCCCAAGAGAAAGACTTTACCGGTACATACTTGTACTTTGCACTCCCACAGTTACCCAGCCTGTTTGTCAAATTATACGAATCCTACTAATAGCGCAGTGAGAGAAATCTGTTATTTTGTCAACTTAAATGGAGAGACACTTTTCTTTTGTGTTTATTCATCAATTCCTGAAAAGGCCACTTTCTGTTAGATCTACATATTTGTCGTTTTTCTTAAATCTCAAAAGAAAGTTACGTAGATCTACTATTCTTTTCTTCATTTTGGATTCACTGTCACGTCTTCTGCAAACAAGGTGTCGAGCCAAAAAATTACGCATTGGATTCCTCTTTCGGTTTTTATCTTCAGCCTAAGGATTTATCAAAATGACTGTAAATGCTTTACGGCCCCAAGAACACTTTTTTTTGTAGGAGTTGAGGGAAGTATCCCTCTTTCCTCTCCATCCCCCCCCCCCCCTCTCTCTCTCTCTCTCTCTCTCTCTCTCTCTCTCTCTCTCTCTCTCTCTCTCTCCCCCCCTTCCCCACCTGTTGGCTGGGTTGGATTCAGTATCTGAAAAGAAAGACAAAGATAATTGCTTCAGTGAATTTCCCCTTTCATGAATAAGACTTCATACATTACTGCATGCTAGGTAAAGAGTGTAAGATTTGCGTACCTCAGAGTCTTTCGTGTTTTAACTAATCGATTGTAATGATGTATTGTAATGCCTGTAAATTTATGAATTAGGCTACATCCCAAAAGATACAATATACATTATTTTGAGGATGCTGGATGCTTAATAAATTTCACCACATGCAAGACAAACTGTCTTTTGTGAGCAAAGTGAAGAGCGAAACACTGATAACACAGATTTTAGCTTGCTTTTCAGCTACCATAATTAATTGGAAAGGCTGGAGTTTCTTCGTTGTATCCATGGACATAATTTTAGTCTATTTGGAGACACTCTATACACTTAAATTTCAGTCTCCCAAGTTGAACTCATTTCTTCTGCGAAGAAGACAAAATAAAGATTAGGTTACACCTTTGTTGTTGTTGTTGTTTTTACTTTTCATTTTTGTAATGATTGATCACAATAGTTGTGCAAAATTGATGTCATCATCAAATTAAGTTTCACCTCTTTTTGATGGACCTTTTCGCAAGCAAGATTACATAAAGAAAATAGAAAGCACACCTCAGGCACTGATGCGTTTTGTTTCGTTTGATTTATTTTGTCGGCTGTAGATTTTGATGCTTTACGTTACAATCAACACAGTTCCTGTCATTTTGAAAACTCAATACATACATTTATGTAGGCTACAGACTTGGAAAACAAACTTATGTCTTGCCAGGCATGGATGATGAAAAAACGTCAACTAAAATTAACATCCTAGAAAATTGGATGTGCTTTGTTTCCTGCCATGACTTATTGTTGTGGTTGTAATGTAAACATTTAATGTTCCCAAAGACACAACTTAACCATCTTGCATGATCCAATTGAATGAATTTCCCCACTCATTAATGCTGTCCCTACGCCCTGGGGTCATTTTGTACCCTCGGTGTTGTATTCTTCACCTTTTAGAATAGATCTACTTCTAGTGCGAAGATCTCTTTGAAACTTTCAGATTTACGAGTAAATTTCCTCTTTGGAAAGTGGTGGCACATAGTTCCCCACATCAAATATATATGGATACAATAGTAAAACAGGACATACGGATAGGGTTAAGTGAACTCGTGTCGTTTACATTTGGTAGAAAAAAAAATAGAAAGATGAAGTACGTGCCCAGAGTCGGCTATGTTTTCTTTTGCTTGTTTCATTTAATTTCAATTTTTTTTGTTTTCTTTTGGTGTAAAAGTATGCATTTTTTCACCCCAATCTAGGCAATTTATATCATATAGGAGGCGGGGACTTTGCCTGTGAGGGCCAATAAGTACCTTGGCTGAGAGAGAGCTAAAGCATATCAGCGGAAAGACTGAAATTAAATTGACCTTTACAGTACAGAGCTCAACTTGCCTCAGTTTAGTTGTCTAGTTCTATTTTATTAAAATCATTTAAAGTTCTCTGGTTTGCGTGATACTATGGCAGTTAAGTTCTGCTTATTTGGACTGTGTATCATGAGTTTTTGAGTCTTTCTGATCTGCTGTTCCCACACTTCTCAACAAGGAGGTTGTTTCTCGAGCTGTTTCACTTTCAGATAATGCTTTCAGAACCTTTTCTAGTGTTTCTATCCAGTTCCGTCTCTTCAAATACCTCAGTCTCTCTCTCTCTCTCTCTCAATCTCTCTCTCTCTCTCTCTTTCTCTCTCTCTCTCTCTCTCTCTCTCTCTCTCTCTCTGTCTCTCTCTCGATCTCTCTGTCTCTCTCAATCTCTCTCTCTCTCTCTCTCTCTCTCTCTCTCTCTCTCTCTCTCTTTTCGTTATGTCTCTGTTTTTAACCGTCTCTGTCTTGCAGTCTGTCTGTCTGTCTGTCTGTCTGTCTGTCTGTCTGTCTGTCTGTCTGTCTGTCTGTCTGTCTGTCTGTCTGTCTGTCTGTCTGTCTCTCAAACACACACACACATACATACACACACATACATACACACACATACATACACACTAACACGCACACACTCATACATACATACTCGCTCCCTCACTGTTCTATAAATACATGTACTAGATCTATTCAAATTTTGTTGTTAGGCCAAAGGATTTGCGCCTCAATCATCACAGTTTTGATCATTTTGGAGGCAGGTTGTTTCGACCTTTTTGACCAATAAGAACTCATAAGCTTAATAATACATGATGTATTTCAGCGGGATATATGGGTAGGCTCTCCTAGTGAACAAAAAAGTGAGTTTGCTTCTAGCATTTGGGGAATTCTTTTCATATATATAATACTTAACAGGGTCAAAGCAGTGTGTCCTACTTAATACGGCCTCGGTGTTATAATTATTAGGCCTATTTTAAAAAAAAATTTTTTTAGATTATTATTATTATTACTTTTTTTTTTTTGGAGGTCGCGACTTTGCTTTTCAAGTATGGCTTTTCCCGCAAAATTCTTTGTTCTAAAAGACAGCGAAATCTGGTCTTTTTCTAATTTTCTAACATTGGTACACACCTAGATCTAGATCAAGTTGGAGATAGCATGCTCTAAACACACATATATATATATGCGTTCTCAGTTGACAAGTAGACTTACTCATGCATTATTTGACTGACCTTGTATTTGTACAGTCAACTGTGTGTCTACAATAATTTAAAATTGAAATTGCTTTTTCTGCAAGACATTGGCAAGTAGACAATAGTGATTAGATTGGTCCTCGAAGTTATGTTTTCTTCAACAACAACAAAAAGTGCTGTTTGGGTCTTACAAATAATTTAAACAGTCACATAGACTCTAGGCCTAGTATAATATCAATCGTTTTGGGAGCATGTTTTATCGAGTACTTGAGTCAAAGGCGCTAAATGATTTTCTTGCACACTTGGCTAGTCTTTCTATTGCGCCATTATGAAAAATCAGTGAATATGAATAATGCAAAGTCAATCTTCAGTTAGTTTGATTTCTCTGTAGCAGCCTCCGAAAAGGGGGAAAAACAGTTCTATATGTTGTACTCTAAAACCTTGGATCATAATGATCTAGGGCCTACCCGCAAACCGGAACCAACGTTTTCGCTGCGATTGATTGAAACTGGGAGAACAGTGAACAGCGTAGGACTGTGTGTGTACTGTGTTGTTGATGCATTGATGACCGAGTGTTGAGTAAACAGAGGTGAAAACAGTTGGGTACCCAACTATCTTCTGATTCAAACCCCCTAGTAATCATACGTACACTTTGAATAAACGTGTGCACCCAGTACTCATTTTTTAGACCATACACACATACACTTACACTAAATCTACACACTCTTTATCTGTGGTAGGCTAAGTGAGTTCCGAGTTCGGGCCCCGAGTTCGTTCCGTTGGACGTTGGAGAGTTTAAAATATCTAGATCTAGATCTAGATTAGTACTTGTTTGTTACAATGTCAAATTCTCGCGCTACTCCTCTCTCTCTTTCTCTCTCTCTCCACTGCCCACAGACAAAATTGTACGCTTTTAGTAGGCTACAATAATTGTAATGGAACGTTTGTTCATGGCACAGAATTCTACAATTTTTCTGTTATCATAGTGTAGAATTCTGTGGTTTAGGAGGGTGAACGCAAAATTCGGTGAACGCGCACCGGGTGAGAATAGCCACAAGACTCGCCTGCACTATTCTCACTCCGGGTGAGAATAGAGGTGGCTGTGCTATAACGTAATTTTTTCTTGGCTTTTTCAATTTGACCATCCACATCGATAGAAAGTATTCAGTATTCCGAAATGAGGAAAAACAGGTCTTGTTTCAAACCGGGTGAGAATAGCCTACGGTCGCAAGTCTCACCCGGGGTGAGAGGTAGATTGTTTTTCTATTCTCACCCCGGATGAGAATAGCCACTTCCATTCTGAAAAGAATCTATCTAGATCTAGATCTAGATCTAGATCTAGACTTACAAGTTAGAGTCTACCCATGACATAATGCATAATGAAATTGAAATAGAAATGACTGATGGACTTCTTTGGCGTTGACGGAGCTGTGTCCGTTGCTCGTCTCATTTTTACTTTGTAGCTATCCAGAATCCAGTCTATCAATCAATGCATTGTCATTGGGAGGAATTCCGTAACGAGCAACCACTATGAAACAGTAGAAGAGAGTATAGGATAATTAAGGTTCGGGGTTGTGGCAGGGTGTGGGGAAGGCGTATTCATGGGTTGGGTTAGAAGGGTTTTGGGTAGGGGTAAGTTACGTAAGGTTAGAGCTAGAGGGTATGGGGCAACGAAGTGGCTAGCCGTACGACTGGGAGTCTAGCCGTATTTAGATCTAGGTTTGGCCCTATCGACTCAAGCCTGTTAAGTACAACAGGTCTCATTAGATCTAGATCTAGATCTAGATAGTATAATTATTCAGGTTCAAATACATGCATGTCAGTAAGGCACCTTTTGGTTTTGTCTGAAATTCAAATACTTTTGGCATTGCAAACTAAAAATTTCATTTACAATTCAGCAATCAATATTAACCCTAGAAGCGCTCAGCGTTTCACCGGAAGTAACCCGCCAAAAATGCCCCGCCGCCGCACGGACGATCAGTTGTAAACATGGGGGTTTGTCGGGGGGGGGGGGGAATCAGCTGAGATACCCAAAATGTATACCTGCTACTGAAAAATGACCATTTACGGCTCAACAGATGATAAAAAGCATATATAAAAGCATATGTTTTCTTTAACTCATTCGCTACGCCACGCCGAGCCGTGGGGGGCGGCGCGGCTAAAGTGCCGTCAGTACGCTAAGCCGCCCCCGGCGGCTCGAGAACCGACGTTCAATTTTAGCTTAGTTTCTATTCCAATCCACATATCCATGTTAAAATAAAGGTCATAATATAAAGTTGACTTCCGGGTCAAGCGTTTCCACCGAAAATCGGAAGTTTTGATTCAGTTTTGAAATACGATTTTGAAGTTTATATCATGCGCCATTGTTTTATCGCGAAGCCGAAATTATAGCCTAGACACCAGTCTTAGTACTTTTACACAACAAAATGTATCATTATTTTGCTCACTAAAGAAGTGCAGGACTCTTCTTTATAATATTACTACTGGACTCAAATTGCCAGTGCACTGTAATTGAGAAATCAATATTTTTGAGTGCTAGATCTAGGCCTAGAGATCTAGAAATCTAAAAAGTCAAAATATTTTTTTTCTCCCCAAAATCACTACTTTTGGGTGAATTTACTCAAAAAGTAATACCCAAGATATGTATATGTTTATTCCAAATGCAATTCTGAATATTTCCATATAAGATACGAGTGGTTTTTTTTCGGTTTGGGATCATTTTCAAAATTATTAAAAGATTTTTTTTCAATATCGGAGGTTATGATCCAAATGTACAAATATTATGGAATGTATGTAAATAACTGCTCATTTTTCAATATTTTCCTGTTCTATATACAGTTATGGTTATTTTGATGTATAATTTTACTAGGTGCAAACATATTTTTTGAGTTTCATCTGAGATTATAAATTTTTTGTTTTCAAATTTTATCCGCAGCAGATCACAATTGTGTTGCATAATCGCCTCTTACAGGAACCAAAGTTGAAAAATGCACAAATAAACAATACAGATGTATTCTACAAACCATACTGAAAATGTTGATATATAATGTGTTAATATTTATTTGAATTTATGGCCCCCAAGACCTGTGAACTGCGCACTAGTCATCATCTCATTTCGCCCTCCCGAAAAAAATTCATCCACAAGCCGAAAATAATATGTATCGAATGAGTTAAGCTGATAGAATGAGCCATTCAAAAATGATTAGCGATCAAATAAATGCAAACAAAGCCCAGAACGCGATAAACTCAACAATTAGTACATCAGCACGGCGAAACAAGTGATAACACATAGCGTGTAGTCGTTCAGCGGGACCGCGTCACTTTATCGATCGATATATCGGCCAAGAGACGCTCTACGAGGTCAAGTTAACTTGCAAAGTCATTGGTCACTATTTATAACTTTGGCCTGTAATTGACTACGTCATTTTCCATATATAAGGAACACTGGAATTTTCCATTGAAAAGGGTCAGCGTCTGTGCCCTTTATATAGGGCCTGCGTGCTTCCCGGTCGAAGTAGGTCTGCCCTATATATAGGGTGTGCGCGCTTCCCGGGTAGCCTGGCTCACACCCTTTATATAGAGGGCCTGCGCGCTTCCAGGGTTAAGTACGGCTAGCCTGACAGTCTAGCCGTCCTTAAGTACAGCTAGCCTGGCTGTCTACCCGTACTTAAGTACGGCTAGCCAAGAAGTCTAGCCGTACTTAAGTACGGCTAGACTGCCAGTCCATCCGTACTTCTCTTACGCCCTATTAACATTAGAAAACAGGAGGTTTAAAATACAGGCACTGTCATTAAGGCACCTGGTTTCGTCTCAAATACAAATACTTCAGGTACTGCACACTAAAAATTTATATTTACAATTCAGTAGGCCTATTTTTTTAAAATGGTCAGTCTAGCCATCATATATTAAGAATAAGTACGGCTAGACTGCCAGTCTAGTGCCCATTCATTGGGAGGTCGATTCTCTAATATTAACCGATCACCCGACTCTTGGCTGTTTGAAAGTGTTTGTTTTTGAGGCCCCGAGTATGGCAATCAAACCTATCCATAGCTGCCAAGCAGGTAACTAAAAAAGCGTGTATTTAGTACTATTTTTGGGTTTGAGTACGGAAATCTATTTTGGCATCAGAAAATATGTTTTTAACTTTTTCCATCTTAGTTTCAATACAAACTTTCAAACTACAAACTGGCTTCAAGCAAGAAAAATTAGAAAATTTATGACCAGATAGGCGAACGTAAATAAGTACGGGAGTCAAAAAGACGACGAGAGTAGTGTCCACGCAATTAGACTGGAAGTCGACCTCCTTCCGCGAGTGTGCCCCTTCTGTATTTTTTGTTATTAAATGTTATTAAGAGCATGCGCTATTGATGCGGGAAGTAACCTACGGGCCTTCTTTGTTTCTCATTCATTCACATCGGGTCGCGGGTCATCATGTGTGTGTTACGGGGGTGGCCTTTGTGATAAATGAACGCAGGAGCTAAAACTATTTCTTTGATCACGGACGTGTGTGCTTTCAAGTGATGGATGGGTGCGTTTTTAAAAGGGAGTGCTTACAGACCCGGTAACCGGGAACAAAGTCACGAAGTATACAGACCCAGTAGGGGAAATCTTTTGTGATCGGAAAGTTTCAGTGCACTCTTGGCTCAGGGTAGACCTAGGTTTTTCTAGATAAAATCTATGATAGTCTATGGCCTAGGTCTCGATCTAGACGGACAAACATTTTATAATAGATCTAGTTGTTTCGAGGCCAAGATCTAAATGAAGATTGCAGATGTATTTTCGATGATGAGCGATCATTTTTCCTCTGTTTTGTGGAGTTGGAGGATTATCACATTGGCAATGAAAATCTTTATTGATCTTCATTGCCCATAAATTCATAGATTTAGTATTCACATAATATTCACATCATCTGAAATTATATAAATATATATTACATTGTAACATATGTGTCTGTGGTGTGCTTATAATTTGAGTAGAAGTTGTCTTTTAATATCTTTTTGAAGTAAGAACTGGTCTTTTTCGCAGACTGCGCTATAAAAATCTGTTTTTTAATTTTGAAAACTTGGCAGTTAAGCCTTCGTGCGGCACTCTTTGGGGGAAGTGATCCCGGCCCAACTTCATAGAAATTAATAGCCTACACTGTAATCGTAAACTAAAATGGAAGTGGGGGCTCTCGTGGTCTAGAGGTTAAGGTGTTGGCCTCTCATTCAAAGGTCCCGGGTTCGAATCCGGGTAGCGACCAAAAAATTTTCTTCTCTAAAATTGTCTCCTTTCACCTCCTTTCCTGCTCTCTAGCATTGTTCTGTTGTCTGCTTTCATTTCCACTTTCTGCCCCCACCCCCTCACCTCCTTTGCCCCCTCCTCTGGGCTCCTGACTCTTTCTGCAGCCTTTCTACTGCTACTCCTTGGCTCTTCCTAACTGCTGTCTTTCTGCCACACCCCTGATCTTCTGGTAGGAAAGATCTACACCTAGCCTTCTCGGACAAGGGCGAAAAATCTCGGAGGGCCCGTGTGCAAGTTGCGCACGTTAAAGATCCCTTGGTGGTCTAAAATCGATAAGAGCAGGCTTCGGCCGCCACCCGGGCAAAATTCAAAATTTCCTACCAACGAAAAAGTATTAGGTGTGTCCCGCGCTCATATGACCTTATGCAGTTGCGAGCGTCGTAAAACCCTTTACTAAACAAAACAACATAAAATGGAAGTAGAGTAAAAAAGCTGGCTTAGCATTTTATTAATTTTTTTTTGCTTTTTTAAAAATTTATGTTTTTCGATATATTTTCTCCATAATTTTTTTCCTCATTGGGTGCCCTGGTATTATTAGGCCTAGAAAAGGTCCAAATCCAGTTATAAACAAGCCCGATTTCCTGTCTTTTCCATACATTTTTGCCTCCTGATTTAATTTTAAAATTTAAAACTTTCTCAAATTATGTCTGAAATGGGTTTGGACCTTTTCTATATATAAATTTACCGGTGGCCCTTTTCACCCTTGCAACTCGGCATTTTTTTTACTCGACTTTCGTTTTTGTTTCTGATTGTGTGTATATAAATTTCTCTGGAGTTAGTCTGGGACTACTTCTCCCAAAAGAGTGCACTGATTGTGCCAATGGGCACTGGACATGTGGTGAAAATGTGCCTTTTGTTAATTGAACTCGCTTTACTTTATTATATCAGCTCTTCACTTGATCTGTCGTTTGTCAGCTGAAGTCTGAAGAAATTTCCCGCCGCTCTTTTTGCTTTTTTCTGTACCTTGTGTATTTATAAATGCTCATGATTAAAAATTTCTGAAGTGAAATTAAGTAAAGTAGGCCTAGGCTTAATAAATTTTTAAAGAATCAGGCCTACATTTATTTAATGGGTAAATTTTTACTTTTAGAACCGCACGCAGATGCTCTGATCTGGGGGCTAAATTGCCATAATTTTTGTTAACTGTGGTGGTAACGATTAGAAGCTGAGTCTGTGTGGTGCCCCTTGAAGTTCCCTCTAATTGTAAAGATCTGGTCTCTCCACGTACCTTCTTTTTTGTCTGGTGACCAAGTTCTTAAAATTAAGCAATGACTTACTTGTAGTTTGTCTCCATTCCTGCCCTAGTTATATTTTTGGATTTTTAAAAATAGTCGTTATTTTTCAGATATAGCCATGGGACCCATTGGTCGTTCAAGGTCTAGGAGCCCTGTCAAAACCGACAGCAGAATGGATCCGGATGACTCTAAGAAAAGAGAATTTCGAAGGGAAAGGTCAAGGTCAAAGGAGCGTAGCAAGCATAAATCAGCGAGACATCGTTCAAGGAGCAGAGAAAAAGAAAGGTGACTACATAATTTCTTTTGTTAAGGAACTTTCATTCGAGGAATGAAGATGAAGAGGGTCATATGAAAAAGCCTAATCTCAAATAGCCATGGCAGAGGTGGTGCTAATGATTCCAAACGTGTTTTATTTTCTTAAGTCTGAATATAGAAATTTTCCTGTTCGTTCTCTTGAAAAGGAAGGATATTTCTTTGCTTGTATGAATAATACCTTTAGAATTAACTGCAAACTGTAATCGCTGAACAGACTGTTTTCTCTTGCATTAAAAATGTTCCCTTTTAAAAAAAAGAAATGTAACAATGAATTTTGTCCTGTAATTTTTAGTCTGTAGTATTTTTCTTTGTAAATGTTTCTTTATATCTTGTATTTAATGTATTGAAATGTAATCGTGCTTCTTGTAAGGACTGTTTTGGTAAGGTAAGAATTTTTAGCTTGTTTTTGTAACTTGTAAAATAAAATTTTTGATTTCAGAAAGCGAAGTCCTGGTAAAGAGCGCAAGCGGAACAGAAGTCATAGCAAAGACAGAGATAAGAGTCGCAGAAGGAAATCGAAGTCCCCAAGACCTAGAGGAGAAAAGACGTCAGTTGTTACTCTATTTTCTTTTGCTGTTAGATTAGATAGCCAGAGATGCCAACCAGTAGGATTTTACGTATTTTAGTAAGATTTTTTGCCGAAAATACGCGAATACGATCTACTTTCGCTTTCGTTACCACCGAGAAGTTTGCCTGTCTAATAATAACGCAACATGTGTGACTGCAGGTTGTGCAGTATAAACACAATGTCGCCATGCAAATAAAATTTAATCAATGCTCGGACTCGTCTCTGTGCTGTCACTTGTGAAAAAAAAAAGAAAAGAAAATACTAGCGTCGTCCGATTTTTAGATTGTCTGGCTCGCCATCTTGACCGGTCACTGGACTTGCGCGCATTCGCATCATAAATAAATGCGGCATCGTGTGAGCAAAGACCGTCTTTGGTGGGAGTTACGCCGTGGCGAAGTATTGGACTACAGAATAGGGGAGGAGATAATTGACTTTTTAAGGATTTAAGGCAAAACCAGAGGACAAAAACTTGGAAGCACATTTCAGAATTTTGATTAGAGCTTTTTACAAAGCGCGCGTTGGTGCAGGCCATGTGCGGAATCGGAACTCTTCATACTTTGCATGTCTGTGTTATTGAAATAAAGTGTTCGCGTTTCATTGGATGGGTGATAGTAAATTATACCTACAGTGTATGTTGTAGCTTTCTCTTCAAGACTGGCAGATTTTCAGTGTCACTGCATCTTGCCCTCCAACAGTAGTTGTTACAACTCTCACTCTGCGTGGGTCTACTTGAGCCTTTCAAGTTATTGCTTTTCTATTAGTTTGAGCAATAATTTGAGTCTGTCACTTCATATTATGAATCATGACACCCAGACTGGTTCTTGATAGTCGAAATTCTTGTTCAAGGCCCTTCCCAACTCTCAAAGCAGGATTTCTTTTTTATATAATAATGAGAGGAAAATGTTACCGGTATGTAATAGACTGAAATACTGAAGCCAAACCAGACCCCAGTACGACATTTAACACTGACATGTTGTTGACTGGATACGTGTAGGCCTATATTGTACGCGTGTGTGCTCCCTTTTTTGAGCTGGTGAGCTAGTAATTTTTTTTCAGGAAATATTGCTGGACACCCTGAACATTTTACTATTACTAGTTGGTCGGTCGTGGGGAATACACATTTTCCCCTGAAATTACACATTTTCATATTTCCCAATACTCATTTCGGTTTTCTATGGTTGGCATCTCTGGATAGCTTTATTGTTATTATTCAACTTACTTGGGATGTATTTGTGGTTGTTAAACTGATTTTTGTATTTCAGTTCAGTACGGACCTGTTTGACTCTCATTTAATTTTTTTTAGAAGGATTTATCTATTAGAACTTTGTTCTTTCTCTTTTTGTTTTGGGAAGTGCTTTACTATGCTTGCCAATGCAAATGGTGATATGAGCGTGCGGGACACATTAACAATTTTCAGTTTGGAAGGAATTAATTTTTAATTTTGCCCGGGTGGCGGCCTAAGCCTACTCTAATAGATTTTTTACCTCCAAGGGTTCTTTAAAATGCGCTGGTTGCACACAGGACAATCGAGATTTTTCGGACTTTTTCAAAAAGGCTAGGTGTCAGGTCTTACCTACCGTAAGGTCGGGGTTGTGGCCGAAAGACAGCAGTAAGAAGGGGCCAAGGAGTAGCTTTGTTCTGCTGAATGATAAAGGGTTATATAATTAGAATGACTGTAAGTGTATTGATGTTGACTTCGCATCAACAGGTCTTTGAAGTGAGTTCAAAGCTTTAATAATGTGTGTGTGCTTAAAGAAAGGTACCAAAAGTCGGATTTTGACAATTTTGAGTAAAGGGTTGTGCCTTATAGGAAATTCTGGGGCGACTTTTGGTACCTTTCTCTAGGAACACACACATATTAATATAATTGTTTTCTCGTGGGTGATTTTTATGGTGAGGTGATTTTAAAACCCTTTCACTGCCAGGTCTTCTTTAAAATCCTTCCAAAGAACTCATAAAATCTTTGGCCTGGCTGTGAAAGTGTTTGTGGCAAATGATAGTGTAAGATCAAATGATCATTGGTTTATATTTATGTTTTTTGTTCTCATGGTATTTAGAACTCACTGGTAAAGGGCATTGTCTTTTCAGAAGCACAAACGAAGAGGAGGAAGACGTCAAAGATAAAAAGGTTCCATTGTCTTTGGAAGAGTTGTTGGCAAAGAAGAGAGCTGAGGAGGAGGCTTTAAGCAAGGTAAGAGAAGCTAAATTACTTTAGGTTTACAGTTGGTATGGGAAAACTTCCTTTTGATTTATCACACATGTGGGTTTGGTGAACAATTATCCCTTTGGCACACTAAGACCCCTGCTGCTAATCTTGTTTTTATTCCAAACGTAAGGGAGATAAATCTGCAGAAATAACACCCATTATTTACCCTTTTCCTCACTCCCAGTAAGTGACTGAACAAGCTAGAATTAATATACTGGAGCATACCAGTGAAAAGTGGCACTTATGGATTATCTGTGAAATTACTTTCAGTCCCATCTGCTACTTATTAGTTTGTCTCAGAACCCTTTTCGTTTAACATACATGTGATAAGGCCCTTTTGACCACCACCTGGCCCTCTCACAACTTGAGATATTTCTGTCTTATAGTATGTCTTTGTGGAAGGACTTGACTGAGGAAACAATGTCTAATGGATCCTAGAGCCTCAGTAAATGAGTAAATGCTTGTACAATTACTTCAGGTAATTCTGTAATTCAATTACCCATCTAATGCTACATCAGAATCCTTGTCAGGTTCATTGTCTCCACCATCAGCTCTAAAACCTAGAGCTTGGTTCATCGTTGTCTTTAAAATCAAGTACAGGCACCTCCACTTCCCTTCTATTGTCAACCAAACCATTATCTTCATCCTAATTTGTACATTAAGATTCACCAGTCTACATAATATATACTCCAGTGTTTCCTTACAATTTATGGATCCCTCAAACTTCCCCCATTCTCTTCAAGACTTTAATGGAAACATCAAAATGTATACACATGGCATAAATCTTTCATCAGCCTGACTCTGATAAAAGGACGACTGACAAGAAGTTGGTTTATGATTTCTTTTGATTCTGCAATCTGCATGCAGGTTTATCCAAATGAAAAACCTGAAATCCCGATACCATCAATGAAGTCTTTATCGATGACGTGCAGTGACTGTAGATAGGGGGATGATTGACACTCATGTTGATGGTTACTATCAACAGGATAATGGTCATTTGCACTAAGTGTGCTCAATAGTGTCTTGTGCTGTACTTATTTTTCTGTCCCCAAATGAAACAGAGGCTTGCAGCTGTCTCAGAGATTTGTGTAGGTGAAAAAAAACCCCAAAAACATGTGCCATTAAAAGTCTGCTCTTTGCTTTATCTATAGTTAATTGCTGTTGATGGCATGGACTTTGATTTTGGTTCATTTTGTTAATTTTATTTCTCTGTGCTCAGCCAAAATTTTTGACAAAAGAAGAACGAGTAGCAGAAGCTCTGAAAAAAAGACAGGTGGCGGCTGATGAGGCCAGGCGTAAAATGGATGAGGAAAGAAAAAAGCAGGTGGACTTCATCAAAGCAGCGAAAGATTTTGGAGGTTTGTTCACTTCAGACTCTGTATTTTGTAGAGAAAAGATGGTTATGTTTGTGTCGTGAGAACAAATTTTTTATTTTTTTAAAAACAAATTGGGGGGGGGGGGGGGGGGGGGGGAGGCTTAAGGCATCCTTTTTTTTCAAATGTTTTTCAGAATCTGGTAACAAGCTACCTTGATGCAAGGCTTGATAAGGAAGGTTGATAAGTCGGTTATCTCAATGATCAACTGTTAGTTCCCAGGGCACATGGCCATCTTTAATATTAGTTAACAAAAATTTTCCTTGTGAGATTGAAATTTGCCTGTGGCTACTTAAAAGTATTTCTCTTGTAACATTGAAGGGAAGCTTTTTAGGCTATCCCAGTATTTTTTTCCCTAATGAATTTCTTTTTCATTAGATAAGTAATATAAGATTTCCTTCCAGATGTAAATATAGTCCTTTTTATCTGAAGAGACTTTTCTGAAGTTGTCTTCATTGTGATGACACCAATCATAATTTCGTTTTATCTGAAAAATTTCATGTGCGTAATTAAACGTTATATTTCAGATGACCGTGACAGAGACCGAGACAGGGACCGTGAACGAGAACGGGAAAGAGAGCGCAGAGAAAGACAAATGAGGAGGGATAAGGAGAAAGAAGAGGAAGATGACAAGGGAGGCAAAATGAGAGATTCAAAAGACAAGGACAAAGAATCTGAAGCCATCAGGGTCAGTGTTTGACATTCATTTACCTTTGGCACTGTTTTTGTCCTGTAGCATTGATACCGATAGTATTTTGATTTGAGTTCCAACGATTTTAATTTTGTAACTGTAGACCACTGCAAATGTGTTGCGACAGGGTGGAATCCTTCAATCTCTTCAATTTTTGGGCTTGGGGAGTTATTAGTATTATCTCAAAGCTTGTTCATTTGCCTTGTGTTTGATGAAAATAATACCCATCTAATGTGTGAGTCAATATATTTGCAGTTGAGGAGGGTGGGGGTTGCTTGGTACCAGAGGTAAAATTAGCGAGAAAATGGCTGCCAAAGTTTTGTGACGTCTATAGTTTGAGAGGCCTTGGAAACTGAAAATTTACTTTTTTTGTGACTGTAATCAACATTTTTCGGTAAAATCTACACAGAAATGTGTTTTTAAAAGGATATAAAAGGCGTTGAACCCAAAAAACCGACATTTTGATAAAAATTTGTCAAATTGATTGAAAAATACAAGTTTCTTCGATTTCATTATTTTTCCAGGGGGGCCTGATTTCACCACGATGCCTCACAAATAGATCTGTCAAAACAACTGATTTGTTTAAGTGTCAACTTTTTGGTTCATGAATATCTTTAAGTTTAAGTGCAAATGTATGTTATACTGTAGATTCTGTTTAAGATGAAATTCTTGTTGTCATGAAAAGATATCAGATCCCCATTTCCCCCCTCTTAACCCTGTGCAGCAACTTCCGATAACACGATAAAAAATTCCAACAGATCTGGTCAACACAAACGAATTCTGAGCCGTTTCATCTCGTCTTCTGAGTGCTATCCTGGAAAACCATAAAATAAATTCCTCAACCTCTTTTGAACGCTATTTTGTATGGTCAAGGCCTCCATCTGGAGTTGAAAATAATGTTTCCCTTTTTTAAAAATTTCCCAAAGATTGACTGTTCAGCGCATGTTATTTATGACTAAAAATAGGTTACACTATGCCTTCCTTGTGATCATGTCAGTTTTGTTTGCAACAAACAGAAGGGGCCACCTTACCCTTTTGTCTTTTTTTCTTTAGCTCTGCTTACCATGAAATCTGTGTAATGTGGAAAAATTTTCCTATGAAGCTCATTTGATCAGGGTTTGCTGTAAACGTGGTGTTTACTAGACGGAAAGAGATCAAAAGTTAAATAGTAAGTCCCTTTTTTTTTCATTTCTGTTATTCGTTTCATGTAATGTTTACTGTGCAGTAATGGATGACTAAAAAACAAGATTTTTCTTGTTTTGTTTTTCTTTTATACAGGAGCGTTACCTAGGCATAATTAAGAAGCGCAAGCGTATTAGGAGACTGAATGACCGTAAGTTTGTGTTCGACTGGGACGCTGGGGATGACACGTCTCAGGATTACAATTTGCTCTACAAGGAGAAGCATCAAGTACAGTTTTATGGCCGGGGCAATGTTGCTGGCATAGATATCAAGGTAATGCGCCCCATAATTTACTTTTGAGTTGGGTTGTTTTTTTTTATGGTAGAAAACCATTTGAGAATTGTACGCTATAGACAACTTGAAGAGGGAGAATAGATTTTGCTGAAGGGGGTTCAGTAGCTTGGCAGGTATAGTGCTGCCTGTCAACCCAGATGTCAAGAGTTTGGTCCCCATCAGTGTTGTTTTTTTGGGGGTTTTTTTCTCATGCTATTTTACACCCCTTGATCGTAGGGTAGTTAGGATTGATCATCTGTTTTTCTTGGATAAGAACCAACAATTGTGGAGGTTTGAATGTAAGTTTTACACATGAAAAATCTCTTGACGGTTCTAAAAGTTAAAAGAGCTTGCCTTTTGGACTGCTGTTGTGGCAGGATTCAAAATTAATGTCTACTCAAAACTGAGGTAACAGTGTAGTCAGTATTAAAATTAGGAGTACTTGTCTGGTAAGGGGTGGTTCCACGTACTATGTTGGACAATTCAGCAATAGACGTAGAAATCAACTGCACTGTGAGATGAAGACCGTATAGTAATAATAATAATAAATAGCATTTTTATAGCGCATATCCCCGCTCAACAGCAGGCTCTATGCGCTTTACACTATATTATTACCCCAGCAGACCATAGAACACTCCGAAACATTCTCAGCTTGCCGGGAAGCATACAGTGCAAGCATCTGATTAAGCGCTCAAACACTAACAAACTGACAAGATCTTTCGCTGTCTATAGCCGGGTACCCATTCCCACCTGGGTGAAGTGAGGAAAATTCGTGTAAAGTGCCTTTCCCAAGGACACAACGTCGGGCCCCTGGCGGGATTCGAACCCACGACCTTACGGTTGCGAGTCCGAGAGCCTAACCACTAGGCCACCGACGTCACTTTGTAGTCAGTTATCTCCGGGGCTGGATCATGGGTGTGCTGGAGAACAAGACTTTGCTGGCGTAGATATTTTAATGATTGTAAGAAGTAATGTTTGTCATGATTTGATAATGGTCACTTGCTGAAATTCTGGCCAAAGTCTGATATTGTGTGTAATTGGGAAAATTGCTTTAAACAAATTTTCCTTCCTTTGTCAATAAAACAACGAAAGATGTCAGTGTGTTACTCTTTAAGGGCCTGTCGAATGATATCTTGCAGCAATGATTCCCAGGAAGCTGAGAATTTTTTGGAAAGTTTTGTGATCATTAACTGTTTATCTCCAGCAAGCCGCTCTCAGCGGCTCGCGGTCGGAACCACTGCAGGTGAGCCGCTGACAGCGGCTCAGACAGCGGCTTGGGCACATTCCTTTACGACGACTTCAACAACAAATTACTTTTCGGCCATTGCCGCACTCAGGTCTCTTTTTTCAGGAGTTGATTCATTAGATTAAGAAATATCAAAATAGGTCGATTTGTTTTGAATTAATGACCTATTTAGTGATGTTTTTGTCATTTTTAGATTTAGTACCAGAACTGGGCCCTGGCGTAGTGGGTTTACTCCCCATGGAGATAAAGAGTTAAGGAATAATCTTTTGTAGAATGCATGAGGCCTACTTTTGAGTCTGAATATATAGACTTTACAACAGCTGTCTGTTATTGCTAGCATGGGAACATTCCAGTAGTGCAGCCTTTACCTTCCTGCTTGGTGTACTATTGTACCTGTCTTTCCAGACCTCACCCCCTTGCTGTGATATATTGAACAAACTGTGGACGTGTCTGCTCTAGATGCAGAATCTTTGCTTCACATGCATTTAGCAATATAGAAGAAATATGAGAATTGTCCGTCTTGAATTAAAGTACTTATGCAGCTAGCTGTAACTGTTTGTGAGCGCGATGATTGCTCTGGGTGTTCTCTATACAGCACAAATTAGCACCTTGTAAAGTTGTATTTTCTGTAAGGAATAGTCTATAATACTGTTGTTTAATATAACTGGTATATGACGATATCCTTGTGTATTTGTAGTGATGTGTAAGTTGAATGTGTTTGATGCTCTTATTTTTATGTTTGGACTATGACCTGCACTTGTGTATGACAGTCAAGAGAAGATTGGCTGTGGCAACTGTTTGTTGTGATTGGAAATCTTCCTTTAACTAAAAAAAAATCTGATGTATTGTGACATTCATAAGGCATTACATCAGTGAAGAAGTTGGTATGAGATAGGTGGTAGGACTGAAGAATTATATTACGTTGCTTATGGTTTCACTATGTAACCAAAGATGAATATCTCGTCTTTTTTTCAGGCCCAGAAGAAAGACCAGTCTAAATTTTATGGTGACTTAATGGAAAAAAGACGTACAGAAGCAGAGAAAGACCAGGAAAAGTGAGTCTTGATTTGTGTTTGAATGAACTGAAATGCGATTGTTGTTCATGTGGTGTATGCCGTAACTTCCCCTGAGCCCTGGCCCCAGCCCTGCTCCATATGATGAAGATCTCAGCCATTACTTTTTTAGGGGACTTTTTGTGATGTCATTCATCTCTGTAATAATAAGCATGCGTGAGGTAATAATTGAAACATGTAGTTCCTGGTTTTAGGATTATAGAGTTTGATGTGTGATTTATTTTTACTTTTAATGCGTTCAGAAAAAAGCCCTTTCAATATTGAGTTTTCCATTTGTTTTTTATTTCCTTAAAATCCTTCCTAGATAAAAAGTACATTTATAAAAAAAAACTTCTTTTGGTACTAAACACTTGCCCATAGCTTACTGTTGGTCTTTTTCCTACCTATTAAAAACTGGTGTGGGAGGCTACTTTCACATTGCATCTTAATCATCAGTGTTCTTTGCCCTTTTGGGTGGCGTCGGTAGCTTAGTGGTTAGGCAACTGGACCTGTAATCGTGATATTGCCGGTTTGAGATTTGAGCCTCAGCTTGGTCCGATGTTGTGTCCTTGTGAAAGGCACTTAACACAATTTTCTATTTGGCTTGGTCCTTTTGGAGATGGATGTTTAACTCGGAGGTCCTGCCTATTAAATAACCTTACAGCGTTGATACAGGTGCTAAACCTTTACCATTTCACCATTTCACCATTTTTTTCCCCCCGCCCTTTTGAGTGATGTCTGGCATGAGAAAGTCTAGCTGGAGGCATCAACTGCGTACAGGAAGTACATATATTTTCCTTGAACCTCAATGTGTCAGACCTGATGCTGATGAACATGTCCTGTGAAAAAAGTAAAAGTGCTTTTTGCGGAAGGGATTATAAGCTTGTTGGTTACTAGTCTAGTTTTTAACTGACCAAGAACTGGTGCTAACCAGAATTTGAAGAATATATATTTTTTTCATCTGTTTTTAAACTTGCAGTATATGGCAAATTATTTTGTCCAGTGTGATTGTCGCATTTTCATGTACACTTCTCACTCATTATAGATTGGTTTATTGTAGATTTTTTTTTTCATATTGCCCATGTGAGCTGCAATTATACAGTTTCATTTGTGTAGTTGTGTTTCTTTGCTGTTATTGGTAACAGCTAGTGCCTGGAATTCTGCAACACTGTGTGACCCTCGGGGGCTGAAATGGCAAATTGGGGTGAACTGGCCAGCCGATAGAGGTTTTGTCAAGTAGTTTGAGCCATCCATCACAGGGTCTTTTTGACTTGAAGCAGTCTCGTAAGCTTTGTTCATGTGTGTGTAAGCTTTTATGCTTGTAGCCTGCTCATGGCCTCTTGTTTTGAATGTTTTCAGTCATCGTTTTTTGTTTCTGTTTTACAGGAAACGCTTGAAAAATGTGGCCAGTAAGGAGGCAAAACAGAAATGGGATGACAGGCATTGGTCTGAGAAACCTCTTGATGATATGGTGGACAGGGATTGGCGTATCTTCAAGGAAGACTTCAACATCAGCTGCAAAGGTGGACGCATCCCAAATCCTATCCGATTTTGGAGAGAGTGCGGTCTGCCAAAAGAGCTGTTGAATATCATTGATGAAGTTGGATACAAGGTAGTGTCTTTGACAATAGGTTCTTTTCCTTGTTTTTCTTTGCAGGTCTATTATTTTCTCAGATGCGGTGCCCCATTTTATTTGTCTGGTAGTTTGTGCTCTTTTCCTTGTCCTTGTCTTCATGTCAGTATCTTTTAGAAGATGATAATTTTAAAATAATTGTAGAAATTCAATATTAAAAGCTATACAGCGGAAGGGCTGTGCATTTAAGATAACATGGAATGTTTCTTGGAAGTTGGAATTCTATTTTTTATAGTCTACAATAGTATGTTTTTTGATGTTGTGAATGACTGCAAAGATTTGTAGTTGTTTAATAGGTGAGTGTTTTCAACACTGTGTTGCCATAACAAATCACTTTAGTTTTTTTAATCAACCTTGTGTGATATAAGCATAGTCATCCTTAATTTAATATCTTTTATCTCATTTTAGTTATTTTTTTACTTATGCTTCTGTTGTATAAATTTGTGTGGTTTTCTTACTTCTTTGTTTTTAAAATGACATATCAGTTTACTAAGGACCAAATTTGAAGTTTTGAAGTTACCCATCCCAATTCTCTGTGGTTTTCAGGAGCCAACTCCCATTCAGAAACAGGCTATCCCAATCGGCCTCCAGAACCGCGACATCATTGGTGTGGCTGAGACTGGCAGCGGTAAGACAGCAGCCTTTTTGATTCCGCTGTTGAAGTGGCTCATGGGACTTCCGAAAATTGAACGGTTTGTGCTTTTTTTGTCGTTCAGATTTGTTACTCTGTTTTGATGTATATGTTTGTGAAAATATGCTTTAATTTGTCTTTTGCGTTCACGAGTTTTTATCAGTTTGAAATGGTATTAATTTTTTAATCCTTACGTTTATGTTTAGTTTCAGGTTGGATTCCAAAAATATTGTGTGACCAATCACACGTTGATATTTTTGGAATATATAAATTTGAATCTTGGAAGCTGTTTCATAGTCAGATATGTCTTGTAATGAATTGGATATATGCACCCCCCCCCCCACCACACACACACACACACACACACACACATACACACACACACACACACACACACACACACACACACACACACACACACACACACACACACACACACACACACACACACACACAATATCTCAGCCACTTCTACTCAACTCCGTCTTGCTTTTTACACTTCTGACTTTTCTCTTGTTAGTTCATGTAGAATGGTACTGGTCTAGTAGAACTGTTTGGCTGTCTTCTTTCTTTTCTTTTTGCTGTTTTGTCATTCACATATGAATGTTTTTCTTTCTCCTAGACCCTCCTACTATTTCTGTTGCTGTTCTAAGGGAATAGTCTTTGTTCTTTGAAACACAGACGTGTCATTGTTGATCTATACATGTATGACTTCTCTCTCTCTCTCTTTCTTCTGGTGCTGTGGCTTCATAAACGGTCAGCGATGCCGACAGCACGCAGGAACTCAACACTCGCCCGGGGGTCCTTAAAAAGTGCTGAAAGTGGGTTACTGAAATGTCCCTCGTGGACTTCTCGCGTGCCTTCGACATGTATGACTTGCGCTATGTTATTTTTAATGTACCCGTTCAGCGTATATTCTTTGAAGCACCCTTGGGAAAATGATGAATCTCTGCAGAGCATTGTCATATTGAAATACTTGAGCTGGAATAACATTAAGAAATTGATGTGCTGTAAGGAACTGCTGTCGAAATTGGACAAGTCAGCCACCCATTGTTGAGGAGCTAAATAGCTGTCTTAAACAGGTGGACGTCTTGGACAGTGTTATAAAGAAAAAGCACTCGGTTGAGAATGGAAAATGGTCATTTGTACAGGTGGTTGTCTTAAGCAGTGGCCATTAGAGCAGATTGGACTGCACTTTGAATTATTATTGGATTAATATTAATTCACCGATGTTCCGAGCTTTGAGAAAAAATTGGTTACAGTAAAACTTTTGTCATTTTTAGATAGTATTTCATGTTTCTCGTATTTTTATTTCACAGTATGGAAGATGCTGACCAGGGTCCGTATGCCATAATTCTGGCACCGACGCGTGAATTGGCTCAACAGATTGAGGAAGAATCGGTGAAGTTCGGCAAAAATCTTGGAATTCGTGTTGTGTCTGTCATTGGTGGAATTTCCAGGGAAGAACAAGGCTTTAAGCTGAGACAGGGATGTGAGGTAAGAGACGTCTTTGTTTTTACACAAAATGACATCGCTTTTTTATAATTTTTTAGTTCTGAGGTATTCCCATCATTTTGATTCTAATATGACAGTATGATAAAGTGTGACTATGATGCCCGGGGGACAAGGTGAGTGCAGAGTTGAAAGTTATCACTCCCAAGACTTGTCTGTTCTTGGCGGTTGTGTTGTTTTTGTTTCAAAGCTGCACATAATGTAATGGGTTTTTTGGGGGGAGGGGTTGTTGATCAGGTTTTCACCTTGTCACTTGTGTAGAATTTTCAGTCGCATTATGCAGTTTCATAGGGGTTTTTTTCTAACAGGTTACAAACTGTATGTTTGATCTGGATTATAGTGTTTCTTTTGATGTCTATTTGATTCTGCAGATTGTTATTGCCACCCCTGGCCGTCTGATCGATGTGTTGGAGAATCGATACTTGGTATTGAATCAGTGTACATACGTTGTCATGGATGAGGCTGACAGAATGATTGACATGGGTTTTGAACCGGAAGTTAGGAAGATTTTGGAGTACCTGCCTGTGACCAATGAGAAACCTGATACTGAGGAGGCTGAAGATGATGAGAAGATGTTGCAGAATTTTAACTCCAAGAAGAAGTATAGACAGGTGTGTATGATTATGTTCAGCATAAACATAGTGGAGCCCTCTCATGAGTTGTTTGCTAACTCTATAAAAGAAGAAATTCAATGGATCTGTTATGTGGAAGGTATTATTTGAGCAAGACTGATTTTTTTTTGGGGGGGGTTGTTTTTTTGTTGTTGACATTTTAATGTCCAAAGAATAAAAGAGTACAACACCCCTTCATTTTTCCGCTACTTATTTGATTGCCTCAAAAAATAAGAACAGATGCTATAGTTAACCTCACCAATTGTTTTGTATTCTGTTCTTGGTTTTTAAATGCTAGGGAATGTATTGAATTTGTTCTTGGTTTGATCAAGACCAAAGAAATTTTTTATTTAACCACTTGTTCTTAATCATAGGGCTCCACTGTATTTTGGAAACTGGTTTTAGCATCCTGTTTTAAAGAGAATGTATATTTGTTTTATGTCTCTGAATAACCTCTGCTCATAATTTTAAACACTAGTTCCTGAATTATTGTTGATGAGATTTTTTATCCCAGAAAAGGGAAAATTCGAATATAGAGTTGTCTAAACTTTAGGGTATAAGTATAAATTCAACATTGGTGCCACATAATGCAGTGTTGAGTGGAAAGATTTTACCTTAAAAAAACCTGTCCAAAACCCAGGAACTGTGAAAGTGTTAAAAATAAATGACTTTTCAGCTGTTTCCGTCCCCACTTCCACCCACATACACTCAAATACACTCACAGCTTTAAACAACTTGCATCTTCCAAGAAACGATTCCATTGTAGGAATTGAATTTGATTGTGTATTTAAAGTTCTTTCAATCTGTGTTGTTATTTTTCTTCCCAGACCGTCATGTTTACAGCTACCATGCCCCCTACCATTGAACGCCTGGCTCGTACATTTCTGCGTCGTCCATGTGTGGTCTACATTGGAAATGTTGGTAAACCTGTGGACAGAGTGGAACAAATTGTCTACATGGTCGGCGAGAATGAGAAGAGGTATGGAAGTTTTCAGCTGGTTCTTTCGTTCTTGTGTATGGGCATTTTTTTTTTTTGAGTAACAAAAGCTGTTGGATAAGTATGAATTCTTTTTTTACAGGTAAAATAATGATAACATTTATATATTTCTTGAAATGTTTTTCCTAGGACAATCTTAAATCAGTGATTTGGTCCTATGTAGTTTAATTGCTAGCAAAATTTTTGTCAAGTCGCATGTACAGTTGTCAACCAATATACAGTATGACATGGATAGGTCGAACACAGAAGACTGGAAATCATGCATTTGCCGAACTGTGCCTGCGGTCGCGGGTTTTTTTTTCTTCTCTGTTTGTATAAGATATCCCTCAAACTACGGATCCTTTCAACTACTGAGGCCGGTCCTGACGAATTTGAGCTATGCGTGTTATACTGTATATCCAAAATATTGTGCAAGAATATCAATTGGATTATCGAGTACTGTTTTTGGACAGCTGTTCTGCTCTGAGTGTGTATGAATTCTTATATGCTCTTTTCAATCTGTTTGTTTGCAGGAAAAAGCTTGTTGGCATTCTCAACCAAGGAATCGAACCTCCCATCATCATTTTCGTCAATCAGAAAAAAGGAGCAGATGTTTTGGCAAAATCACTGGAGAAAATGGGGGTAAACATTTTTTTTTGGATTCATTTGATTATGTTTCTTAACCTCATTTATATTGTGGTCTACAATTTATTCGTTAATGATGCTAGTAGTCTTTCCCTGCTTTTGTGAATTGGCACGTTGTCAGTTATGGGAATTTCTATTGTCTTATTCTTTTTTTCAGTATTTCTTGCACTGAATCTCTTACTACTTTTCCATGGTGCAGTTTAATTTACCTAGCATCTGCGTTTGTTGCCATTTTTTTGTCCAAAAGTTGACGAAAGTTGCCACAAAAATGGCAAAAGTTGCCAAAAAAGTTGCCATTAATTTTCAAGCTTTCAACTAGCTGTGACGACGTAATATATTTATAGAGGTAACTTAATCTTAAGCACCAAAATTTCTTGTGCTCTGTTTTAAGCATCCAGAATATTATTTGTAGACACATAGAGTGTAAAAACGTGAAAAATAAAGGTTTCACTACAGAATGAAATCAAAATTAGAACAGCACACAAACAACAGCAAAAAGTAACAAATAAGGGCATGTGTCCACCTATCCGAAGATTGGCCGTTTTTACCCTAAATGTGTTTAATTCAAGAAAAAGTACAGGATATTACATTTAAATTATGGAATCACTCACTTAAGGGGCATGCCAGTGTCAGTATTCGGTTTTGGTGGAGACACGCTCTAACATAACACATTTATATATTTTTTAAAATGTAGGAGCATCAAATTAAATGACATTACGCTATATAAACACACACACCAATAGATAAGAAAAATTAACACTCCAACAAAGAGGGGAAAATAAAAGACAAACAGCAATATCATAAATAGTATGTAATGTACTTATTATTATTCTTCGCGTGAAAATAACTATACATGGATACCTTAAAATTATCAAAATACTCGTCTATATTATGAAAAATTCAAAAATCGCGGCCGCGACAAATGCAGATGCTAGATTTACTATAATTCCAGAAATATAAACACTCCTGGGGTGCTGTGTCTTATAAGCTAAACTTTGTCCTTTTTATGCAAAGCATGACTTTTCCTTTTGTTTACAAATCTGGTGTTTCTAAAGTGTTGTTTGATGGTTACCATGGCAATATTACGAATATTTCTAATCTGTTTCTGAATATGTGTCAGTTATTTTGCAGAATCATTATCTACAAGTCAACAAAAGCAACAGTTGCTTCCTGATATCCTTTTAGTTTTCCGTTATATTTCTACAATTTCACTTTTTTTTACTCTTGTCATGTTGCTCTTTTTTTCTCTGCAGCACAATGCCTGCACACTCCACGGTGGCAAAGGTCAAGAGCAGAGAGAATTTGCCCTGGCAAGTCTCAAAGGCGGGTCCAAAGAAATCCTGGTGGCCACTGACGTCGCAGGTCGTGGTATCGACATCAAAGATGTGTCCATGGTTATCAACTATGACATGGCCCGCAACATTGAAGGTCAGCCCCCTGAACTTCAAATTTTCCTCTGTTTTCGTCTATTTCTCTTGTTTTGATTTCATGGCAGTTTGGGAGAAATAAGAAGCTAGACGTGCATACTTTTGTGTTATATTTGAGGTCTTAAAGGCTGAGCACAGCTCAACATAAAATAGGACTCTGAGGTGAGGGTTACAAACTGAAGTAAGATGGAAAAGTGATATTGACACATTTTATTCTATTTCGGCAGATTCAGATTCCTGGGAAAAGTTTTAAAGTACTATGATAGAACTGTGTTGATTAGTTTTGGAATGTATTGTGACTTTTAGTGCTGTATAACTTGTTTAAAATAATTTGAATACTTAGATACTCTGCCAGGCCAGTATAAGAAAATGTGATATGAAATTTAATGGAAATTTTGGGTCATGGGGGATCTGAGGCTATGTTTTTTTCGTCACAGGAAAGTACTGGCTATTTTCGTTTTTGTATATAAATTGAAGGTTTGTGTGTACATGGCTGGGTTTTTTTTAGTTATAGGTTCTTACTTTCTCATTTCATAGTTTTAATCTTTTTCTTTGTCAATTATATAGATGTTTAGTACTTTAAAAAAATGAAATGCTCCGCATTGACAAATTTACATTGTTTCCTTCCTTTTTCGCAGACTACACCCATCGTATTGGTCGTACGGGCCGTGCGGGTAAGGAAGGTGTGGCCATCACATTTATCACCAAGGAGGACAGTTCCACGTTCTATGACCTCAAGCAAGTGCTGCTCCAGAGTTCAGTGTCCTCCTGTCCCCCCGAGCTGTCCAGTCATCCTGACGCACAGCACAAGCCAGGGGCTGTCGTACAGAAGAAACGCAAGGACGAGAAAGTGTTTATTACTTAAGAGTAGGTTTGAGGAGGGTCAAAAACTGTTGTCTAAGATGTTGTGCACTTTTTTTAACGTTAGAATTGAAGAATATCACACCCCGCCCCGCCCCTCCAAGACCCCCTCCCACAATGTCTTTGGGAACATCGACTATCAGAACCAGTTGTTTACTGTTACTGTGAGACTTACCATGGCTCTTTTGGTGACTACAGAACTGCATGCATGTTCGAGGGGGGGGGGGGGGGGGCTACTTTACTTTTATCCGTTTCGTCTGCAATCTGAAAAGAGTTAAAGAAAGTTTCATATTTTCATTAGTTGTGGGTGCACTGCAATGAATATATTATATAGTGTTCTTAAATTTCTGGGGGGGGGGGGGGTTAAAACAAACAGTTGAAAGCTCCCTACTTTTTAAATGCAGTATCAACATTTCTTTGTCCTATTGATGGTAGGTTCTCAAACATTTGATAGTCGCTGTTTTTCATTGTGATAGGGTCCATGTGTGTATTTGGCAGTTTTTTGTGCAATTGTAGGGTTTGAGTGAAGAATAAGATGTATTGATTTCACTTCCAGTTTTATTACTGGAAAGCAAAAAAAAAGGTGATATGAAAAACATACCTGTGTCCCCTTTTTTAAAATCTCCAAACGTAATAAATATCGGGGGCTTTTAAGTTACTTTTGGGCTTTTTTAAAGGAAATATTGAAGTGGTATTCCAAGTTGTTTAATATAGATGAGTATGTGTTAACTTGTTGTATGTGTGTGTGTATTGTGAGATAGCAAAGAGGTATGAATTTGTAGAATTTGAATTAGGCTACACGTTCATTTATACCTTCTGATTGTGCTCACAGGGAGAGATTTGTTGTCATGAGTCTGGTGTTTGTTTGTTATGGTGTCATTTATTTCTCTTTATACCCCGGTACTTCTCAAGATAAAGCAGGTTTAGTCTGGTTTAGAGTCGGTTTGTTTCTAACCTCACATGAAGCGCATTATGGATATTTTTCTATCTTTCTCTCTTGGTAATCTTGGAGGTAAAAGGAGTTGAGAGATGATTTAACACAGGATTTATGTTCTGCATCGAAACTTGTTTGAGTTGACGAAGAACAATTTTTTATCTTTCACCGTCATGGTACTTTGGTGTATGCTGATCTGGATAGTGGTATGGATTTACATGTGCTTGTTGTCAGTTGAAATATGTGACAAACGGAACTGAACTGATATAAAATGATAATAAAAAAGACTGGGTACTCTTACTCATAAGTGAAGAAAACAACAAAATAATTTTGTTGAGTGACTTTTCTTTTGTACTTTGTATTTGTGGCATGTTTCTGTACATCATAGCCCCCCCCCCCCCCCCCTTCCTTTTGCCTCCTCCTCTTTGCTCCTGACTCTTTCTGCAGCCTTTCAACTATTACTCCTTGGCTCCTTCTTACTGCTGTCTTTCAACTACACCCCTGATCTTATAATAGGGAACATCTAACACCTAGCCTTCTTGAATAAAGGTGAAAAATCTCAGAGGTCCCGTTTGCAAGTTGCACACGTTAAAAATCCCTTGGTGGTCTTAAAATCAATAAGAGTAGGCTTTGGCCAACACCTGGGCAAAATTCAAAATTCCAACCAAACTTAAAATGTTTAATGTGTCACAAACGCTCATAAGACTTTATGCAGTTATGGATGCCGTAAAACACTTACCTAAAAAAAACCCAAAAGCATCATTGAATAGAATTACCGCCCATTCTTCACAAGCTGACAGTGAGATGTCTGAGCCAGAGGACTTTTAAACCCTATTCGTACGTCGTGTTTTGCTATCGTATCCATACGATATGGGGAACTCTGTGTCTGTACCCCACTTTCCAAAGAGGAAATTTACTCGTTAGTCCGATCTGTATGCTTTGCATAGCAGTCTGTCAAAATGATGTTTTGAGAAATACGGAAAGTTTCAAAGAGATCCTCGCCCTAGAAGTATTCTAAAATGTGAAGAATACAACCCCTGGGGTACAAAATGACCCCAGGCGTACGGATAGGGGTTAAACTCATGCTGTGGATCAAACAGAATTTATACAGATGTGGACTTATTTTCTCTATGATGACAGTTCTGTTATATGGACTTGTAGAAATAACGCATAAATATGTGGTCCTCGGGAAAGTAGGATTGAAGGCCTTCTCTGTTAAAGGAAAACATGGCCAAGGTTTTGTGTGAAAGTGCTATCTTCATGCCAGTTTAAAATTGGAAAAGGTTAATAAGTCGATCTTGTGGCTTTTGAAATTTTTACAAAATCTGGCGCTTGCAAATGAGAAAAAAGAAACTCAAACTCATACATGCAACTCAGCTTGAACTGTGACTGGTTGGAATAGCGTACACTTTGCCACACATGAGAATCAACTAACAGAATTCAAAAGAAGACAAAATAGAGACGAAGATCAATGTATTAGTCTCTTACTATGACATCTTGGACATATTATTTTTTATCGTTTCCAAAAAAGGGTCACAGGTATGCATGCCTTGCCCATCATAAATTTGGATGCACCAGGTGGCTGAAGCATGGTGTGACACGTATTGAGTACCGAGTTGTCCCATATCTTTCTTATTGTTAATCTTTCTGTGAGTGCTACCCGTACTGAGTTGTTCCATCTTATTGTTAATCTTTCTGTGAGTGCAACCCGTGCTGAGTTGTCCCATATCTTTCTTATTGTTAATCTTTCTGTGAGTGCTACACGTACTGAGTTGTCCCATATCTTTCTTATTGTTAATCTTTCTGTGAGTGCTACACGTAATGAGTTGTCCCATATCTTTCTTATTGTTAATCTTTCTGTGAGTGCTACACGTAATGAGTTGTCCCATATCTTTCTTATCGTTAATCTATAGAATCTGTTATCGTTACTGATTTCTACTTCTGTGTCATTCTTTAGTAACTGTTTTTGTGGCTGTCATTGTATCCTGGTGTTTTTCTTCATACATATTTAGTCTTGTTGCAACCAATGACTCATCTGTCTAATACATTATTACATTTGTAAAATTTGATCTTGTTGAGTACAGTTGAAAATGAGTTGGATTGTGGCATTGTTGTTGGACTACTGCACAGATGGCCCTGATCTGATCTTACCGAAGGAACGTTTTTAACTTAGGTTATATTATTTGGAGAGTTTACAGAACCCTCCACCCTCTTTGTTCGGTCCTTTCACTACAACATGGTCTCACACTCACACCCGTACTGGTGTATACTGTCTACTAAACAACTACAAGAACATGAAAAAAAACCTCCAGGAGAGACTGGAATGGCAAGTACAATCAGGAACAACTCTGGACTTAAACAAAGCCTCCTTCAAAGTGAATATATGGGAGCTCTCCTGGCCTAGAGGTTAAAGTGTTCGCCTCTCATTCAAAGATCTCGGGTTCGAATCCGGATAGCGAAGGAAAATGTTTTCCTTTTACCTCCTTTAGTGCTCTCTAACAATGTTCTATCGTCTGCTTTCATCTCCTATTTCTGCCTCCTGCCCCAACCTCATTTGCCCCCTCCTCTGGGCTCCTGACTCTTTCTGCAGCCTTTCTACTGCTACTCCTTGGCTCCTTCTTACTGCTGTCTTTCAGCCACACCCCTGATCTAAAGATAGGTAAGATCTACACCTAGCCTTCTTGGATAAGGGCGAAAAATCTCTGAGTTTCTGTGTGCAAGTTCCGCACATAAAAGATCCCTTGGTGGTCCAAAATCAATAAGAGTAGGCTTCGGACGCCATCAGCAAAATTAAAAATTTCTTACCAATTGAAAATGTTAATGAATAATGTGTCCCGCGCGCTCATAATAATGTGACTTTATGCAGTTACGAGCGCCACAAAACACTTACCAAAACATAAATAAATAAATAAATGAACATGAGAATAATTGGAAGTGTAAACAAATCGGCACAGCACATCGTGAGTATTGGCTCGGTCCCATCACGGATGGATGTTCAATTTGGAAGTCCTGCCTCTTAGACAACCTTGCAGTGTTGAAAGAGAAGTTGAACCTATGCGGCATGTGTACAAATAAATGAGATTGATGTAGTGTGGCTACTACTACTTAATTTATACTGGTTTCTCTCTTGTGCTGTGTCATAAACAGGAGTTACACGATACCACCCAAAACGCATAGGCGCCATTCCGATTCGTTTATTCTTGGGTAACTTGGGTATTAGTTACTGCCTATATGGCGTGGTGATAACAATGAAAGGGGGAACATGTAATGTAAGAGAGAGAGAGAGAGAGAGAGAGAGAGAGAGAGAGAGAGAGAGAGAGAGAGAGAGAGAGAGAGAGAGAGAGAGAGAGAGAGAGAAAGAGAGAGAGGGGGGGGGGGGGAGAAGAGGGGGAGGGCAATTTAAAATAGTGGTCGGGGTCATCTTCATTTGTAAATGTTTAAAAAAATTGTCAGCAGGATTTACAGCTAAAAATTAAAAAGAGAAGCAGGACATACGAAAACCAGGTCAAAACAGTGTTTTGACAGTTTTGAGTGTGTAAAAAAGCAAATAATAAACAAATAGCAACAAAAAACAAAACCCGTTTGTTATATTATGGCCATGGCTATCATAAAGGACAAAGAGTGCTCTGAATGTTTAAGTTAAAAGAAAGTTGACTACTCTTTGTCAATGAACAATATTGAACCCCCTTCGTTTTCGAGTTTGTCTGTCAGCGTCGAGTTTCCGAGTTGACCACTGGGCCCACTTAGGCTACTAGGCCTACTAAATCGATTTTCGGCTCTCGACTCTCGACTCGACCAGTCGAATAGTTTCTTTCCGTGGTCTTCAGAATACAAGATTTCTTATTCCGCATTCTCGTTGGTAACATATTGGCGTCAAAATGGCGGTGGAACCACTCTGGGAAGACCGAGATGTTCGGTTTGATGTTAGTTCAAGGTAAAAGCACTTGCAAAAATCTGTACTCTTATTAGTAGTTTGTAGCATTTGCGCTGCATTAATAATGTCATACGTTGCTCTTCCCACCCCTCCTTCCCGCAGAAAAGAATTTAAAGAATTTCTCGGTCAACAACGGTGTCGTAAATCGTACAAATATTTTTATCTTTAAAATTTTAAGTTCGAAGATCTAGAATCTAGATAGATCTAGATCTAGTCTTCAGTCTTGAGATTCACTTTCCAAGAAAACTAACATCAGGTCTAGATCTTGATAAAATAATCTACTTTCAGTGTCCTGTTCTTGCAACCAGCACTGCTGAGAAAGGGAGGATTGAACAACATTTGGTCCAGTTTGGAGCTTTTTCGGTTGTTCCCACCTCCCTTATTTGGATCTTGAATCTAGATCTAGGCTATATAATGTTTGGTGCACGGCGAGCGAAAGATATCAAACCTAACTGCAAAACATCAAATTATGGTAAAATTCTGGGAAGCATGCCCCCCCAATGTTTTTATTCCGGTCAGCCTGAAACCCCCTTGGGGCCACAACCGGCGAATAATGATTTGGGGGTGGGAACTACCGAAAAGTGCCGAACATTTTGCTGCGACTCTTAACAAGGTTCAATACATTCTAAACAGATTTTTATGACAGAACAGTAGCTGGGCCTCTCTCTATGCTTTGGGCCAGTCACAGTTCCCAATTTTTAAATTTTAAAATGGATAATTGTTTGACCGGAGGAGTTCTGCACTGGGCCGGCACTTACCGTGACAAGGTCCACTGAGCAAACTGTACCGAGTTAGGTTTAGGGTTAGGGTTTAGAGTTATTCCCTGCTCAAAACATCCCCTCTTTTGTGTTTGTTAGTAGGCAGGTCCTCTGCGGAACTCCTTGTGTATAGTATTGACTTTTTAAAAAGATCTAATATCTTTTAAAGTAAAAAATTACATTTTTTTGTTCTTAATTTCTTATCTTAGATTGCTCTCATATAGATCTATTGTCCGTGTCATGCACACACATATATATATGTATATATAAAGTTGATATAATAGTTGTTCCACAATTCTAAGGACAGAAAGTTATGATTCAAATAATTGTTCTCCTGTTTCCCACTGTCTTGTTACATTTCAAGTGCTCTTCTTTAAAGGCCTTGTCTTGCCAAAGTAGGCCTACTCTATCCAGCTCATCGATTACATATATTTAAATGTTAAAACCTGTAGGCCTATAGTGGTACTGGATTAGAGGCCTCTACATTCTCTCTTCCAAATCAAGATTCAGCATTTGTTTTGATTTTGATATGTACCCCCAAATAACTTCAGTTGGGTTTAAACTAGTACCTCTCTATGTGATGTGGGTGGAGGAGCAAGTAGGCCTTACTTATATTTCATTTTTACTTGAAGGCACCAAAGCAACACTGGACTATTATTATTATATTACACTTAAATTTGATCTTTTTAATTTTTTACCGTTCATTTCAATGGTCTTGAGAGCATACACTCAAAGAATGATATCATTTTCTCTGTACTGTAAGGGATAAAATCAGTGTACCACAAATTATAAGCTCTGGCACTCTCATGTCTAATTTTGAGAAAACTTTGTGATGCTTTTTTAGTGGACTAGTTGAAATTCAGAGTCTCAGGAGCCAATTTTGTTTTCAGTCAAATGAAAATGCGACCAGGAGAGAAGTTGATTGATCAGTTGGATGCTGTTGAGGACACAAAAGGAAACAATGGAGACAGAGGTGAGTAAATTGTTCCTGTAGAGCAAGTAATGAAAGAGATGCTATGTCTCTATGATACTGGTTTTTATCTTTTATTGTGAAGGCGGATAAAGAGTAAGGTATGAGTTCTGCATATTTCTCAATCTTCTTTTCATTCTGTGTTGAAAGTTAAAGTTAACAAGAATGCATGCAAAAGTTGGTGGTTGTTGGTAGCTGGAGTGTATTGAAGGGAAAAGCATAATTGTAAGAGGACCGCCTTTGTCATATATTCAGCTTTTATGTCTGTCAGAAATTAAATTTCATTTACCTTCTTTTATTTCAAAAGTCATTATCATTCAGATTTGTATTGGTTGCATTCCGATACTGTTTTAGCTAAGCAGCACTAAATTCCTACACAAAAATGAAGATTGTATAATATGACTTTCTATTTCAGGTCGTCTGATGGTCACAAATTTACGGATAATATGGCACTCCATTGAAATGCCAAGAGCCAATTTATGTAAGTAAGACAATGCTCACAATGAACATAAAAGTGTTAAAATGCGATTTGAATCTTACTGCAAATTTATTTAATATTTTGTATCAGAGTTGTATTTCATAATGTTGTTTGTAAAAAATTTGCTTACAAAAGATAATCATTTATAATGCTTTCCATTAGCATTTGGAGTCCTAAAGTTGAAATGACATAGAAGAAATAATGCTGAATAAGGATGTTTATAGGTTTTGCAATATTTCTGTTGTAGCCTGGCATTGTTTGAGTTATATTATGACCTGTCTCTAAATTGCAGTTGTAAATAATTATATGTAGGGCCTAGGTCTTTTTTTTTTAATGTAGGTGTTTTACGGCGCTCACAACTGCATAAGGTCATAGGAGGGCGCCGGACACATTAAACCTTTTCAGTAGGTTGAAAATTTTGAATTTTGCCTGGGTGGCAGCCGAAGCCTACTCTTATCGATTTTAGACCACCAAGGGATCTTTAATGTGTGCAACTTGCACACGGGACCTCTGAGCCTACCATAAGATCAGGGGTGTGGCTGAAAGACAGCAGTAAGAAGGAGCCAGGGAGTAGCAGTAGAAAAGCTGCAGAAAGAGTCAAGTTCCTAGAGGAGGGGGCAAAGGAGAGAGGGAGTGGGGGCAGAAAGTGGAGATGAAAGCAGATGATGTTAGAGAGCAGGAAATGAGGAGAAAGGAGACAATTTTAGAGAAGAAAATATTTTCATTCGCTACCGAGATTCAAACCCGAGACCTTCGAATGAGAAGCGAACACCTTAACCTCTAGGCCATGAGAGCCCTCATTTGTATGTCTACTCTATATTTGAGGCGCTAAAAGCCATAAATAATAAAGATCACTTCTATAGCACACCCCCCCCCCCCCCCCCCCAAGTGGCTCTAGGCGCTTCACAATAAAATAAGATTTGAATTAAACGTTTCATGCATACTGGCCCATTCGACATAGAACAATCCTTTCAAATACATGTACACCTGCAAAAAGACAATCATTGTGGCAACTTATCACACCTGTTGTCAAAACAAGAATCAAATTTGTTAGTGAAATAGGATTTTAATTTGTGTTTTTAGACCAGATTTAAATGTGGTCAATGTCTAAGTAGGTGCCTCTCTTCAGGCGCTGTGGGTGGGAATTCCTCCACTGAGCAGCTGTGGAAAAACTTCCTCCAATTTTTTAAAATTTACAAGGCACTGTCTTAGGTTGTGAAGTGTAAAAAAAATAAAATTGAAAATCAGAAAAAAATAGCTCAGTTACTATATGTTTACGATATTTGCAGTTTCTTGGCTTGAGAGGTAAAATTTGTCAGTCTCTTGTATAGCCTTCTAGATGTTTACATCGTTAATCTTTAATCCATTCATCTTCTTTCAGACATTTTTTTTAGAAGTTTGTTATATGTGCGTGCTACTATAGAGATGAATTCTTTTACACTTTTTTGCAGCCATTGGCTTCAACTGTGTCATAGGAATCTCAACTAGAACAGCACAGTCTGTGAGTGTATTCAGTCACTTTTATTTTGCTTCAATTGTACATCATTCTATCAGATTGTTACAGACTTTGTTTTCATCTAATTTTGTATATACTCTATGGTCCAGAGGAGAAAATTGGCGTGTGTATTCTGTCTATGAGAATTTTGAACAGAAAGGAATGGGAGTTTTAATTTTCAGTCTGGCTTTTGTCTTTTCTTTTGTTTTCCTTCTTTAGAAAATTTCTTGAGCTTTTGGACAGACACATAATGCATAATTTCATAAATGTGGAAAGTATTCTTGGTGTTTATGGTTTTGGTGTTCCTTTGTAATGTAACTTGAAAGCTCTGTGCTTATGTTTAGAAGCAGCTGCAATATCAGTGCAAAATCAGAAAGGTTTAGAAGGGCTCATATTCATTCGTAGGGCTGTATAGCAGATCAAGTTAATAGTAATTATCACATATCAATCAATGTACTATTTACAGAAACTCAGAGGCACAGTGGAAGCATTGTATATTCTTTGCAAATGTGGGTCAACTCGTTTTGAATTCATCTTCACAAATTTGGTGAGTCTTGTTACAGTATTTCTTTTGAGTTAGAATGTTTGAACACCTTAAAGATACTTGAATTAAATTTATTTTTTTTCATTTTCAGCCTTTTCTTCATGTATGTGGAAGGAGGGTGGTTGGCCTTGTTCTTTAATAAGTCACATCCTGTGACTAGCTCTGCTCCTTTAAGTTAAGCATTGCATCATTAGGTCTGCATTTTGGCTAGGTGTTGTCCTAGTGCTAGAACATAAATCCTTTTTCTAATGGTGCTTGTAGCCATGAGGTTTGTCAGCTCTTTGATCTTTTATTGTGTAGAAATTCATCTCTACAAATGTTATAATAATGTGTGTGCAAATTTATTTATATTTTTAGTCAAAATTGTCAATGCCTAACTGAAACCCTCTCTGTGTTCCTCATCATTGTGAATATTTTCTCTTCAACTGGCACTGTTCTTTTGTTGTAAATGTCTCTTAGAGTTCATGAGACTTCTAAGATGTACAGATGTCTCAGACTGCATCACTAATTTGGATATGCTTTTGTCTTCCCTCTGTGTCTAGGTCCCTGGGTCTCCAAGACTTTTCACATCAATCATTTCTGTGCATAGGTGAGCTATGTTTTGAACGAATGTTTAAATGAGGATTTTGTGCATAATTTGACTGATGACTTTCATCTTTACTTTTATATTATGGAGATTAAGGTTAAATCAACTTCTTTAGTTAAATCCAAGTGATGCTACAAATTTTTAACTTCTTTGTAGTGAAAATTGAGAGTGTCTGTCCTAACCGTGGCCTTACAAGTAACAACCCTTCAGCTCTGTGTGATGAAGTCATTTGTGAGGCATCATGGTGAATTCAGGCGCTTGTCAAAATAATGAAATCATAGAAAAAGGCATTTTTATGGCTGTTGGACAATTTTTTTAAAATTTTCTTTTTTTTGGCTCAACGCCGTTTATGTCCATTTAAAACACATTTATGTGTGGATTTTCTCTAAAAAACATTGATTAAAGACACAAAAATGTAAATTTTCCATTTCCAAGGACTTTCCAGCTTTGGAAATCACTAACCTTAGTGGCCATTTTTTCGCCAATTTTACTTCTGAAACCTGGCGACCCCGCCTTTTTCAATCACAAATATCTCAAATTCTTTCAAGATAAATGGACATTTTTTCATCGAAAGATAGGCAAATGAACTGGCTTTTAGATGATACTAATAAGTCTACGTGATAGAAAATTGAAAAGCGCCTGATTCCATCGTGTCGCGACACATTTGTACAATCGAAGAAAAACTGTTGAGCTTTCAGCCTTTTCTTCTTTTGTATATATGTATGAGGAGGTAGGATGGCCTATTTTGTCCTTTCACAACCTGATTCTAACTCCTCTACTTTAAGCATTGCATCATTAGGTCTGCATTTTGGTCGGGTGTTGTCCTGTTTCCAATTCATAAGTCCTTTTTCTAAAAGTGCATGTAGCTATGAAGTTTGATTTTCCTTGACAAGATGTTTGCATGTACTGTACATGCTTCGTGGAGGAGAACTGACTTCTATGAGGACCTGTAGTAGAACTGATAAGTGAAAATGTTCAGTACCTATGTGTGATCCTCTTTACTATCTGTATTTTCTCTCCAACCTTTCTTTTGATGTTATTTCTTCAGAGCTTACGAGACTTCCAAGATGTACAGGGATCTCAAGCTGCGTGGGGCGCTCATCAAAGACAAGCAAGTGAGGCTCCTGCCTCAAGAACAAATCTATGACAAAGTGAATGGAGTTTGGAACTTGTCCAGTGATCAAGTAAGTTTGAATGTATTGATAATTTTTTTTACTCTTTTCAGCTCATTTGGGGTTATTGAGGAACTGGACATTGGGATCAACATCTGTATCTTCTCTTGGAAAGGTTGTTGAGCATTTTATTTAACAGTCTTGGTTTGCAAGTGGTTTCCAACTAGGGTCTCCATTATCATAATCCTTTGCCTTAGCAACTCAATTACAGGTGCAGCTTTGGGTCAGATGAATTCACATCAGGAAACTCGAGGTATTCCAAGTACGTGTTGTTCTGTATTTGGAAGGGTTAAAAAATTTGGACAACAGTTACGAAAACAATTTGTACATAAATACATTTTTGATATTTCATAATTACCACATATTACAGCACAGTGACGTTCTTCTTTTACTGAGGGTAAACTGGTCTTGCTCAGCGATGTGCTTCAGCAACCACTCACCTAAATACTGTATCCATAGACCTGAGCTACCTAATAGTTCTACCACTTGAGCCCTCTGTGGGAGAGATCTGAAAATTGGTTGTTGGCTTTGAATGAACATTACCAGCAAGTCCTCTACATATTGTTTTATTTACAAGATAATGAAAATATCAGTTACTAGTTATCCATTTTTCAAACTTTGAAATAACTTTGACATCCCTGTTTATCTCTCAATTAACTTGTAGTTTTTCTTCCTGACTTTCTAAGCATATCTTACCTGTCTGCTGCAATCTTTTAAAAGAATAATTTCTCTTTAGTCCCTCTTACTCAGCTAATGTTTCTGCTTTAACTTTAATAACTGAAATTTGGATCACAGGGCAACTTGGGCACATTCTACATCACCAATGTGAGGCTCATGTGGCATGCAAACATCAATGAATCTTTCAATGTCAGCATCCCCTATTTGCAAATGGTGAGTGGTTATTTTTACTTTGATGTAGTTAGTGCTTGTAGTTGTCTTTAAAAAAAATAGATTTGGGTTTATCCCCCTGTTGACACAATGTAGATCATATAGGAGGCAGGCTTCGACCCTGCTGTAAGTTCTCTGGACTGTGAGGGCTACAATGTCCCAGAAGTAAGACAGAAATACTCAATAAAATTCTTCTCATGTTTATGTGTGTGTTTGTGTGTATGTGTGTCTGTGAGTGAGTTTATGTGTGTGCGCACAGTTATGTGTTTGTGTCTGTAAGTATGTGTTTCTGATTGTGTAGGAGAAGAAAGAAGTATGCTTGTATGTATATATATGCATTTACCTATATGTAAGTTTTTGAATTAATTTATATAATTTGCCAGTGGGCGTTTTACTAAATTGCTTTCTAACTTGTATACTGAGGATAATAGACTGTAGTTCATCTATAAGCATTTTGTCCACTTAAATTAAATCTTGTTACTTTTTACTCCCTCAGAAAACTGTCAAAATCAGAGACTCAAAGTTTGGAATTGCTCTAGTTGTTGAAACTACACCAATGGTGAGTGCACACATTTCTTGACCTGTTCAAAAGATTCTTAGCTTTTTTAAAATTAGTCTTTAGTCAAGTTGGACAGAGTGTTTTTTCAGTTTTGAGCTGTCAGAGCTTTGTTGTGTGTGTGGTTTTTTGTTTTGTTTGGCAAACTGTAACATTCAGTCATCGTGTTAAATAATGAGTACATACTGAGTATCTTCAAGTTCTTATGTAGTAAATTTGGTTCCCTTGTCAATTCTGTAGTAAGAACTGAAGAAGGTCCCAGGACCAGCCATTAGAATGAAGTATGCCGCTTAACAAATTTGTCAAGCCTTCTATAAATTGAATCTTTTTGTTCTCATCATTCACTGAATAGAAGTTACCTCCCCCCTCCTTTTTTTTGAGGCGAATGAGTTAGTGTGTTGGTTAGAACTGAGACTTTTCCAGACTCTGTAATAGATGTAATTATCCTTTCTTGCATCAGGATCAGTCAAAATCCTTGCTGGTCAGTCAGCCACAGGATTGCCGGTCACTGAGCTATTACATATCTTGTGGACATATGTGTCATGTTGCGGTGGAATCAGGCGCACGTTAATTTTTTGACATTTGGAGTTATTAGTGTTTTTTTAAAGCTTGTTCAGTTGTCTGTCTCTCGCCGAAAAAAAATTCCCATCTATATTGAATAGAAGTAGATATATTTGCGATTGAAGGAAGTGGGATTGCCTGATTTCAGTGGTAAAATAAGAGGGAAAATGGCTACAAATGTTTGGTGACTTCTATGGGTTGAGAGTCCTTGTAAACTGAAAATCATTTTTGTGCTTTAAATTATTTAATGAATGTTTTTCTGTAAAATCCACACTGAAATGCTGGTATCTTTGATTTCATTATATTGACGAGGGCCTGATTTCACCATGATGTCTCACATGTAATATGTAAGTTTATCCATGGGCGTTTTTTTTCAGAGTGGTGGTTACGTCCTTGGATTCAGGATTGATCCTATGGAAAAACTTCAAGCGACTGCCAAAATGATTCAAAACTTGCATCGGGTGTACAGTGCATGCCCCATATTTGGTGTCGAGTTTGAGGTGGATGAAAAGGTACTGATAGAAAAAAAAATTGTAAAAGAAAGTATGAACATGTTATTTTGTTTATTTTTAAAAATACTACTTAACAAAACTTGCTCACCCCTCTGTTCATGATCTTGAAAACATTAGCAGTCGTAAAACTTCTTTTTGTACCTTTGCTTAAAAATGTTATGTCGTTCAACTATCATTTTTATTAACTTAGCCCCTCAAAATGAGTTGAACTGATGTATTATGAATGTAAATGGAAAAGTTTGAAAGAATTTACTTACAAGTAGCTTGCTTTGTCTAACTATGCCTAGTTCATGCCAAATTTATAGAGTGAAAATTGTGTGTTTTGTCCATTCCTGCATGCTTCATATTTGGCTGTGTTGAAAGTAATTATTTTTCGTAAATGTGTGTTTGTTTAGTTTCAGGGCTTTGCCTGTATCTTTACACTTGCTTATTTTTTGTTTTCGTCACTATCATCTTGTTTGATATACTCTTAGACAGTTACATCTGCTTGTGGTTGAAAGAGACTGGAAGGAGGTCTTATTTCTTTTCTGTTTTTTATTCTTTTCTTGCTTTGTTTTCTATATCGTAATACTGAATATCCTTTTGTGTTGATGGTCTATTCACAGCTAGTAATTAACTTCCCACAAAACCATCAACCACTGAAATACAGCATAGAATATTTTTATAGATATCCTCCGTCAATAATGAAATGGAAATTAAACAAAAACCACTCTGAAAGGAAGACCTAAATGAAAGTTCAAATTTTCTGCCTTTGCGTTCTTTCATCAGCCGCAGACATTGGAGGAGAACACGCGTGCACCAATCCAGGATGACGTGGAAGTGGAGTACGATTCACAGACTGATGCCTTTGCGGTTAGTTCATAGTGGTTTTTGTGTCATAGTCTGTCATATGACTTGTTGTTTAGCCTTGTCTGATATTTCATGAATTTGGCAGGTTTTTTTTCTTATTGTTTGGAATACATATCATCAATGCCTTTCACCCCTGGCAGGGTATAGGCCACATACAAGCTCCTTCCATTTATCTCTGTCCTGAGCCATCCTTCCTAGCTCGTTCCAAGTGAGCTTCATTTCTCTCATGTCCCTTTCCACGCATCTCCTCCATGTTTCCCGTGGCCTACCCCTGCCTCGTGCTCCTTGTGGGTTCCATTGCAGTGACGGTCTTGTGATGTTTCCGCTGGGCTTTCTTAAGGTGTGTCCCATCCATCGCCACTTTCTTAGTCCTATTTCTACTTCTATATCCTTTTGTCCTGTCCTTTCCCACAGTTCTTCATTTCTTATTCTATCCTGCCACTTAATTCTTAGAATACTCCTCATACATCTGTTGATGAAAGTCTGGACTTCATTCAGTACTGTTTTCGTTGTCTTCCAAGTTTCGCAGCCGTAGAGGAGCACAGACTTGACGTTGGAGTTAAAGAGTCGAATCTTGGTGAGCAGCGAGATGTTGCTTGCTTTTTGGAATACATATATTATGATATATTTGTCAGTAATTTCAAATGGTTGATAACTTGGTTCATTGTTATTGTTGTGTGAGTTAAAATAAGTAGTATCCTAAAAGTAACATTCCAAGTTTGTTATTTGAGAGACAGAATGCTTGGTCCTGTGATATGAATGAAGAAAAAGAAAGACAAGAGGAAAGATACAGAGACGGAACACACTAGTGAATTGTGCATGTATACATCTGAGTTTCGATGCTAGTGCGGGACTTCTCGCTTCTCAAAGGGTTGTAATTCTTGGTGTATAGTGCATTTATTTACCTTCCCCTCATGTGGAAAAATTAGGTGAATAAAAAAAGGCCAGATCAATATAATGGCGTCGGTGGCCTAGTGGTTAGGCTCTCGGGCTCGCAACCGTAAGGTTGTGGGTTCGAATCCCGTCAAGGGCCCGACGTTGTGTCCTTGGGAAAGGCACTTTACACGAATTTTCCTCACTTCACCCAGGTGGGAATGGGTACCCAGCTATAGACAGGGAAAGATCTTGTCAGTTTGTTAGTGTTTGAGCGCTTAATCAGCTGCTTGCACTGTATGCTCCCCGGGAAGCTGAGAATGTTTCGGAGTGTTCTACGGTCTGCTGGTGTAATAATATAGTGTAAAGCGCATAGAGCCTGCTGTTGAGCGGGGATATGGGCTATACAAATGCTATCTATTATTATTATTATAATGAATGGAAATTGGGAAGTCATTCTGTTTTGAGGAGTAATAAGTAATGATGAGATGGTGAAATGAAGTAGTCTGGTTAAAGTAACATGTCAGTTTGCTGTAAGGTTGTTGTTGCCTTTGTTCTAAACCATCACAATCTGTCAAACACTTACAAATCTTTATAACAATCTAAACAAAACCTGTTGGGTTTTTTTTTACAGGCATACTTTGCAGATGGTAACAAGGAGAAAGACAGAGAGCCCGTTTTTTCTGACGAACTTGGACTTGCAGTTGAAAAGTTGAAAGATGGTTTCACTATCTCAGGCCTGTGGGAGGTTATAGCATCATAAAGATGTGACATGACTCAAAGATATACATATATACGTCATCGCTGTCACAACAAAAATAAGTCATTATTAATTTTTTTTTTGCCCACCCTGTAAAGCAGGTCAAATGGATTTGAGAGTTTTTCTTCTGACACTGACAATAGTTGTCTATACTTTTGTACTGATAATGTGTGAATGAACAAATAAGAGGAAATTTGAGTTAATGAGGGAGAGTTTGATGTGTGTGTATTTTGCTACTTGAATGACAGTGCCTGAAGATTATAGGATGAAGTGAACAGTGAGAACTTGAGAGCATTTTTAGTGAATGTGGTTCTTGAATACTATAAGATAGTTTCTCTTGTTCTCACGGCAACGCTCCAGCACACAGAGCAATCATATAAGCTACTCAGACAGTAAAGCATTGTGGCTACGAAATTTTCCCACATCCACCCTATTCACTGGATATAGTACCCTCTGATTTTTTCCTTTTCCCAAATCTGAGAAAGTCCTCAAAGGACAACATTTTCACATTGATGAAGATGCTATAATTGTAGTGGAGGAATTGTTAAGTCCCGTCCGAGGTCATATTATGCTCAAGGACTTTTGAATGGAGGTCAAACGAAGATGACAAAAGTGTTTATTTCCAGGGTGTCTATTTAGAAAAGTGGCATTGTGAGAGTCGATCTTACTTCTTTCATAGTTCGGGTAAACACATAAGGACACTCGTATGCGCTATGTGGAGACTCAGTGAATAGATTTTACTTAATTAGCTTTTAACTGATAGTATTGCCCTCTTTGCCCTGGGCAGGACATAATAAAAAAATAAATATTTTTTATGCTGCAATATGATAGGATGATATAGAGAAATTAAAAATACAAAAATGTTTTAAAAAAATGATTGAATATCCTGATAGTCTGTTAAATTTCAAGTTGCTAAAGAGAAATCCATTTTGCTTTCTTTAGTTATATTGCTGAGTGCAGTCCTTTATTTATGGTTTAAATTTCACACAAAAATTCTCTCATCTCGTCTGTCTTAAGTTAATATGAATGACAGGGTTGTTCATAATGTATATTTTAAAAATAGTTATGAAGAGAGCTAGTTGCAATTCCTTGTGTCAAGTCTTTGACAGTGACAGTATAGTGCTGATTGCTCCACTAGAGTGATTTAGTTGTTTGATGAAAAAAAAAGTCACTGATAAGTTTTTTGTCTGCCTTAAGTCTGTTGACATTTAATGCAGTGATGTTCTGAGTGATGAAGTTGCAACAGTTTCTCAGCACTGCACGTATATTGTGCGTCATCTCATGAAAAACATATCATGTGATTGTGAACTATATTTCCACCTTTAGTAGGTATTTTTAGTAATGAATATTGTATATAAATTATGTGCTGTGATATGATATATGAAATGAATAAAGTTTCAACCTGGAGAATTGGATGTGGAATGATATTCATGTTTATTTGTTATCAAATTCCATTCATTTATCTCAAACAATAACAAATACAAATGTTACGCTCTCAAAGGGAATACATACTGTACACCTTTTTTTTCACATGCTCTTTTAAAAAAAAGTTTTACCTATTGAGTATTTCGTGAATGTTGTGAATTACAATTTGAGTCTCCCTGTGCCATGCGTTCCGTTGCACTGGTTTCCGTTTCAACATTTTGCGAATGTCTTGAATATTTGCGATTGCACCCAAACAAAAAAACCCTCGGTGTACAGTACTGTATCACAGGTGTATACAAGTATGAAATATATCTCAGGTCACTGATCTTGAGCCTGTATGTTGCCCGCAGAAAACCAGGTTAATGCAGTCAGTACATGAAAAAATAGCCCTGGAAAGGGAAATATGGGAAACGTTTGTTCGTGGCCTGCACCCTGATCTAGGGTGAGAAAGGCAATGATGATTGCATGAAATAACTTCAACTTTTCTTTGCACTTCGAATGCATAGACTTGCAGTATGACAAAAAAAACCCCAGGGATGAAATGAATACAAGCAACAGCTGCTCTCATGATTGGAGACGTTTTTATTTAACTTAAGAATGTGGTTACCAATATAAGGGATTCAAAATAACTAGCACATTGATTTTATTTATCAGACACTCACAAGTTTAAAGCTGTGGTATTAGAGATAAGTAGCTCTTGAAGAGGACAGGCCAAAACTTGTTTATGCAGAGCACGAATTAATTTCAATTGTTTGGTAGCCTAAAGAGTACACTGTACATGTAATTTATATAATATAAATTATATAATATAAATCCAGATTTTAATGAGTTTGAAACCTTGACAAAATAGTTTGACAATGTAATGCCCATAGAAGAACTAATACTAAACAAGATAGTTTTGCTTGTACTTACAGTCTTAAATACTTGTTATACTCTATTTTTCCTGTTCTTTTTGAACACATGTTTGGGTAATTAAAAAAAATATATCAAATGTGCTTGGAACAAACATGATTATTTTACAATAAAGAGATGATGAGAGATGATGTATATGAATACGAATTAATGATTACCTATGTTCTATTTTCATATTGAATTTAGAAATTCAAAAGATAATGAGACATTTTACTCTAATGAAAAAGACCTACTAAAATAGAAAAAGTGTGGTAATCACTTCCAAATAAGATTGTCTGAATGTCTTATTAACCATAATTGTTGCACTGCTCAAGAATGTTTGTTTGTTTTTTCTAATGGTTCAAGGAAAGAATGCATCTTCAGAGGCTTTTACAGTGGAATCCTGTTATAACGAGAGGGAGGGGACCGGAGCAAAATGTCCGTTATAGCAGGATTTTCGCTATAAGGGATCCAGTAATAAATTCAAGGGAAACTATAAAGTAGGCCTAATCTATGAGTTTGGTGTTCTGTTTATTTCCTTTTGCTATCTCCCCTGATGATGATTTTGTTTCAACATGACCTCTAGGTCTTACTTGATCAAAAATTGAATCAGGTTTCTTTCTCTAGTGCTAGATCTAGCGATGTGAACTTACAGCTCAGCGTTGGCGATCAGAAAGAAAGGGCTCTGGGCTAACTCGCCCACTGTGTTTCCCCCACCCCCCCAACCCCCGCCCTGTGGTGCCCTCTTCTGCTTGCGCACGTCATATATTCGCTCCATCCATCACAGCACTGTGACCTCTCCATCCCTGCATCGGAGAAGTGAGAGGCATGGTAGGCCTTTATAATCTAAACTAGGCCTATCATGCGATGCGTTCGTCTTGTTTGCGCATGCCACACCCTCCCCGCTCAGTCGCTCTAGCCTTCATTGTTGGCACACATGGGCTCTCCCATTCTTTGTTTCGCTAGATCACCAACAACTTTCTCAACTGGCGAGGTTTTACTTTATGTATAATTGGCCCATGCACTGTGCACAGCAGAAGCTATATTCCGCTATAAATGACTCGCGTGTATGTCTGATAGCGCTATAGCAGTATTTTATTTACAAAGGTAAAGAAGAGAAAAAAGCGGGGTTTTAGAATCGTGTCTTTATAACAGACTTCTCGTTTTTTCCGGACTCGTTATAAGTGGACTCCACTGTACTCAAATATTTTTGTGGTTGCATGTGAAAAATGGCCTTCAGTTATCTGTTGTGGGAGCCTACTTTTGAGGCAGAACCAAAAAGACATCTCTTTTTGTTGCTTTCACTGATCACAAAACACAACTCTGCTGTCCAGGTTAAAAAGTACCATTTACAGACGGCAGGGTACAGATTTTTAAAACAGTTTTGTTATCTTTTATGACTTGTCTCTAGCAAAAAAATCTTCAAAGGATATACCGTACCAACAGTCTGTCTTATATCTATAGCTGGACAGGGTAAATAGTTGGTCGTGGCTCAAGTGTAGAAGTCTGATCTTGCTCAACTCCAAATATTCAATTAGTATACAGTAATTGTAAGGCACTGGGTGATGAGGAATCAGTTATCTTAAAGTACAATTCAGAAGGAAGACAAAAAATAGAAAAATATGTATTTTGTTTATTATTATTAATATTAACCCCTTCACTGCCAGGCTTGTCCAAGAGTACAACCCAAAGCGTTGTCATGCTGACAGTGACAGTGAAGTAGGTTAAGGACTAGTTTTGTTCTCTGAGTACAGCCTTGCACACATGTCAAACTAACCCAACGTCCTCCTGTTTTTCTCTTATTCCTCCTTTGGGAAATGATGTAACATTAACTTTCTTTTAATGCTCTCAGAAAGTGACCTCAGGTCCAACCGATACAGGTAATTTTTAACCTTTTGAAGTTTTTAAACTTAAAAATATATTAAATTCAAACTAAGGAGTGGCCTGATTGGTGAATTTAAACTGACTTTGATAGGGGACATGATAATGAAAAGCACCGAGAGTGGTACTTTAGTTTATACTTAGTACATTTACTGGTACAGGTAAATCCCATATTATACAGATGTAGTGTACATGTATGAAAAGACTTTTTAATGTGGGATGCTGATAGTACTTTTTGGAGATTTTGCATGAGCATGGTATAGGCCAACATTATTCATATAATTTGGAAATACAAAACAACAACAACAGTAACAGCAAAAAACAACAAAATGAAATGAATCAATAAAAAAACAAATTCAACACAAATTTAGAATATTGCCAAACAGTGGATGGTTTTCCAAAGCCATATTACATAGTTGCACATTCACCCGCCTGTACATGTACATATATATGTAAATGTGTGGTGGCTACATTTTTGTTAACATTTTAAAGATGTTTATAACCGCATGTTGACATGCTTGAAAGCGTACTAAGTGCTAAAGTATGGTACGTGATTTTACGTGCTGACATTTTTGGCATGTCTATCTGCATTTAGGTTCACACAGCATAGTTGACAAAACACTTTTTCATTCACAGCAGTTTCCATTTAAAAATCTCGTTCTCCCGAAATTTGAATTCTAATTTATTCAAAAACTAAGTCTAGTCACACTTTCACTTTGTTTTTTTCCACACTAGTAGGATACCGGGGTACCTAGATCTAAATTCTAATCAGGCTTTTGATTGAGGAAATAAAAAAATTCCGTGTCAAAACGAAAAAGGGCTTTTTGTCAGCTTACGGTGTATCCTTTTACGCTGGGGCTGTCAGACACACCTGCGATAAACCTAAGGAATAACAGCATTATGGCTGATGGACACTATTGTGTGGTCTGCTCCTTTTTGTCTAATTCAGCTCTACCATTATCCAAATCTGCATCTGTTGAATCGGGGCCCAGAAAGCTGGCTGTGAGTGTGAGTAGATGACAGCCCATCTACTGCACAATAATCTCTTTAAGGACTAGCGGACACATAGTTATGATAATAAGGATAAAAATAATAATAATAATAATGGTAATGATAATAATAATGAGAACAATATGCTAATAATGATAATAATAATGGTAATAGTAATATA